ATATTCTTTTTAATTACATTTTTTTTATATCTTTAAACACTTTCCCATTTTGTTTGCTCTAATTCATTCTCTCTAGCCCACTTCTCTCCTCCCATGGTCTTAAATTACCCTCTTCAGAAGAACGGAATTACATAAGGATATTGCTGTGAATTTCAGTAATGATGAATTCTGTTTAATTGCCGGGGGAGGGGGGGGAGAGAGAATGAGCCAAGTATTCACAACAAAATGTTTACATTTTTTTGCTCAATACCCAGACCATACAACACAAACAACAGATCAGATGTAGGCCCTTATCTTGCATGGGTCAACTCATATTTTCGGCCACAAAATATACAGTCAATTCAACAACAAATTGGATTTATATAGCGCCCTCCACGCTGGACGGCATCTCAGAGCGCTTAAATTCACTTTACAGTATATTTTGTGGAGCGCTTTGAGACATCTCGAAGACGTGATAAGGCACTGTATCTAGTGCAAGGATTATCATCTTAGAAGCAGTGGTAGAATAAGATCCATTTATTGTTATGTAACCATTCCACAGCTTTGCATTAATATCTGCACATCTCACATGTGACATTGTGTGCTTCACACATTCAGAGCCATAAACAGAAGAGGGTTAATGAGAGTTGGGATTTGCTGTACTGATAAGGGAATTTGAATTCTGACGAAAAGTCATGGACCCGAAACGTTGACTATCGACTAAATGCATCACCTTCCTTCCTCCATAGATGCTGCCTGACCTGCTGAGTGTTTCCAGCGACTTCGGTTTTTCTTTTCAGATTTTCAGCATCTGCAATATTTTGAGTTTTGTGTACGTTTGAATTTATTTTGACACCGAGTAGGAGATTGTACCGAATCAACAAACATACACTGCATTTAACAGTAATCGATCAGATCAGAATGCAAAGCAGCATTTTCAAATTAGTCACAGCTCCACTAACAGAAAGACCCACAGTATCTGCGAGTTTGTTTGAAGCTCTCCCAGTTGTCAGCACTGAGTTCAAATAATGTAATAAGGTAACAGGCCAGAAATACTATATATTAGGGCAGACACTCTCAGTAAATCAGAAGCACAATCTTATGCTAAACCACTAATTAATTTTGCCTCTCTACCCTAATAAGCTACTTCAGTCACAGCTATCCAAGGGGTTTATTGCCAATGAATAATCATTCGTCTTCTTCTTCACATGATTGTTCCGAAGTGAATCTCTCAGATGTGAAACTTAATATAATGATAGTTTAACTGAAGGCTACAATCTGCTCATTAGTAACAAATATCTAATTAGCACGAATGTGATGGCTGGATTCACTGTCAGCGGCAGATGGTGGACGTCCACTTTCCAATTGTTTCAACCCCTGATCGAGACATTTCGAATCCCAGAGAATTTTTCAGCTTTCTCATTAGTTTTTGATGGTTGCTCATTACTGTACGATTCCAAATTCTGAAGCTAGTGGAATGATTTTGCACTATATCATCCGTGAATTTACCGCACTGGGCTGAGTGATCTTATGATTAATGATAATGCTAGAATTAGACTGTAAAGCTAGTGATTTAATGGGATGATTTCATACGTACTGGACTCAGAGTGCAATTCCATATCAGGTGAGGGACATCTACTGTTCACAAATTGATAAATGGAATGGTGGAAAACACTTCTTGTAACATTTTAACATTATCCATGTTAGCGCGTAATCGGGATGAATGATATGGATTATGCATGGATATGGTTTTCAGATTAATAGAGGTCAGCAGGATTGTTTTCTCCACGGAATGGTTACCTGAAAAAAAGTCCCAGCAAAATCAACCAAGTCAGTGTCAATTAACTCTTTCAAAAGGTTTTGGATAAATATCTGGTGAGCAATCGTCCTGAAGGTTATAGGGTGAGTGCAGACTGAGTTGAGCAAATACTTTCTGAGACACAAAGGTTTCTGTGCTGCTCATCTGTGGTCGAAATAGGTGGAGGGCATCATTGCCAGATTTAAGCAGAGAGACCAACAGTGTTGCAAAGCTGGATTAGTGTGGGATATCATCATGTGGAAGCTACCATTCCACAGATGGAAGTTTAGTGCTGCGGTGTATGATAATTCTTGCATTGGATACAGTGCTTTCTTGTCGAGTGTGTCTCAAAGCGCTTCACAGGATTTACTGCCAAATGTAGTGACTGTGTAATTTGGAGGCCAATGACTGGAAGTGTTATTCGCAGGTTGAAAACTGAGCAAATTACTGATGACACTATGGTATAAAGCTTGGAATCCAATCCATCATACATTCAGCAATTATAAACTACTGGTTTCCTCAAAGGCACATAATCAAAGGACTATTAATGATAGCCACCAAAGCAGTAGGTTGCATATATGCTTTAAGGTCTAGATCAATGATTGGATAACCAAACACTATTGCTGATCATAAAAATATTAAGCCAATGTCGAAAACAAAGTCCTGTTTAAAATGACCTGCTGCTATATATTTTTATGTTTGTGAACTGTGACCAAACATAGACTCGTAAAACTTCATAGAGCTAAGTCCTTACAATTAGCACATGGATCCACAAAAGATTCAATTAATTGAACAGGTTCAACCTTCCAACCTCAAAAACACTGGTTTCTGGTAATAATCACAACAACCATTTGCAATGTTCCTTTCAACACAACAGGAAACCTGTTTCTTGTTCCACTTCTAACAGCACTTTGAAAATACTGGAACCTGGAGTAATTATAAGGCATACATACATAACCCTCATTTTACACGATTTTACTGGGAAGTTAAATAGCCATTGATAATAACTCTCCTTTCCCAACAAAAAAAGACAAATGTGAAAAATTCCAGCTAAATAGTTCCTTGGTTTATCACCGTTCGTGTAATCTTGTCATGACTTTGAGATTACCCTTCAACTCCGTGCGGAAGGCTTGAAAGCCTATCACCCCTATCCTTGCCCAGCTCTACTGGCTCCCAAACCCAGAGAGGATTGAGTTCAACATCCTTATCCTTACTTTTAAATCTCTCCAGTCTTGCCCACTCTACCTGTGACCTTCATAAACCAATCAGCCTGCTCCCTCCGCTCGGCAAACCCAACCAACCCAATTAGCTCTGTGCCCCAGCCCCATCATCAATGGTCAGGCTTCCAACCAACAGCAAACTCCTGATAACTCGAATCTGGCTTAAACTTGTCACATCACTTAAGTCATTGTGCTGTCAATATCCAGGGTGTAACCCATCACTCCGGAAAACACGTCGATGAGCCCTTTTTCCTTGGGGAGTGACGAGTTATCAGGTTACTCTATCTACCCTTACTTAGGCTCTGGAACTCCATTCTGGAGTCCTTTTGCCGTGCCCCTTCCCTCCTTCAGGGTCTAGCTCAAGACTTCCCTTTTTGACCACACCTTAGGTCATCCTCTCCTCCACCCCCACCCTTCCTGGGTGCAAACCCTCAACTATCCAGTACTTTGGGATATCCTTCTGATGTGAAAGGTGCTACATAAATCAACTTATTGTTGTTGTTAACTGTGTTTTGTTTTCAAAATATGCAGATACCAGGGCATACAACCTCTTCTGCATTTAAATGGAGATCCTTACTCGCAATTAGTTTTGCAATTTGTCTATTCCAGACATCCTGATCTCTTTGTTCCTCCCCTATTGTGAAGTTGGAAACCTAGATTGTCAGTGAAAAGGAGGTGATAATCAAGTACTGTATAATGAGGGAACTGCATTAGAAAAGGGCAGTGACAACTGATTAGGCATGCAGTATATACCAGACTATTAACTACATCTTAAGGATTATTCTTATTATTTAATCAAAGAAAGGCCTGTGTAAATTATGGAAATCAATACAACTGGCAACTTCAATTGCCAAATATGCTTCTACTGTGAATGATGGGATAGAGAAACAGCGCCATCCTTTGAAGATGAGTGTTCTTTTTCCTTTAATGAAATGCAATGCATCATATATAATTTAAACCACATTACTCTGCTTTAACAATCAACTGTCCATACTCTACACCATAAATTATAGCATCATTTCTGACTGAGTTCAGCGCCTTGGGACGTCCTCCTGACGTGAAAGGCGCTTTATAAATGGAATCTTGTTGTTGTTGTTGTTGTTGAGTTATGAGGAATGCAGATTGCCAATTACTGAACACTCAATATTAACTTCCAATGGAACAAACCACATCTTTCACACAATTTGAAGATGAAATATTACCCATCTTGTCATCTCGTCCCTAAAAGATCGCAAAATTTGCAGTGTTTCCAATTTCACTGAGATCCTCCAAATTGGGACTTTTCTCATTCTTTTAAGGCTTTGGGAATTATGACCCAACACAAATCAATAACTGGTTAGGGAAATGAAATTTAAAAAAAATTCATTGGTACAACTAATATGTAACTGTGTTTCCTTTCAATCAAATCTCTCAGGCGATAGGGGGAAAGGGCAGAATATTAATGCTCTTAAATTGTGGCAGAAGAATTAAAATACGGTAGACTTTGTGTTAGCAATTACTCACACGCTTTACTAAACTATGAAATGAACGGAGAATTTATCCCTGGGTTACAAAGAAAAACGGGAACATGGAATAAAGACTCCTGGTCTAAAATGATTTAATTTCCCTTTTTCCTGTCAGGATATCCCACATGGCTGGTCTCCAGTAGATTCCCTTCTTGAAGGAAGATAAAAAAGCTCTCCTTTCAGATGGTAAAAACAATTAATTTCTCTTGGAAAAAGAAGTTATGAGGACAGTACTTTAGAATGGATGTACTTCTTCCGTCTGCCTTCCTTCCCCACACCCCCTCCCCCAAATGATGTTCTCCTCTGAATACTCGACATGATACAGACTTGCTCCATTCTGCAGCTACCATAAGAGATGAGTCAACAGAGCTGCAGCTTTCTGAATAACTCAAATAATGATACTCACCTAGAAATACAACAATAAATGGAGACACCAAATATGAAGCAAATAAAAGAAACTTAGTTTTGAACAAATAGTTTGGGGGCAATCGGTCACAATGAAATTTGAACAAGGAATTTTATGAACTATTATTAATTTCACTCGGATTTCAAAAATAGAGCTTATTACAATACATTCGTAAACAAATATGCTCAAAATAGCATTTTGATCCTTTATCAAAACAGCACTCAAATATTTACTAAACCTGTTCAAATATATTAACATTCGTACGTTAACTTCTGTACTGTCAACTTCACTTAAAAAAAACTGTCAACAACAGCTTTATAAGTGAATAACCATGTTAGAATGAGATCAGCAACTCATTCTAAAATATAATCATCTGCAAAGATCTGATGTTGAGCGAGATCTAAGGAATTTACAACCGAATAAAACAATGATAAAAAAGATACAGGCTGTAAAAATAAATCTTACCAGCTGTGCCAGTTTATATCATTTGAATACTTCCCTACTTCTTACTGCTGTGTACCCTCCCCTCATTAAATAAGCAAAGCTAATTGCTCACAGGTTAAATACTAAAATTTTGCAGCTGCAATATTAACATTAACTGATATCAGATGTAATGGGCATGAAAGCCAACATTTGTTCTAAATAATTCTTTACTCGTTTTTTTTTTGAATCAGCAAAGTGGCCACAAAAGCAACCCACACAGACTGAAAACTGATGAATTGTGTAGAACATATTCTATATTTAACAGAACATTTTACTGTGTTAACAGCAGTAGAATACATAACAGTTGTTCGACTGTATAATATTTTCAAAATACTTTGCAGTAGAATTGCAAACAAGAAAAATATTCACACAGGTATAAACAAATGCTGTCCTAAAAAAACAATTAAAAATTGTATAGACTTTAGATGAAGCAAATGTTTTTTTCAACAGAGACTGACACTTTTAGAGCCTTCTGGAACACCAATCTTTGTCTTTCAAATGCATTCCAAGTGCTGTTAGCTACACAATTGCATACTGTTCATATAATAGGTCCCGTATTTTATAATAATCTTCACACAAACAACCTTCTAGTCCGATTCGTCCTGTCTCAGTCTGAAATAGAAACAAGATCAAAATCAAGGGATTGATCCACCAATAAGGAAAAGCAAAAATAAGGGGAAAAAAAGTGGAAATACCGATGAGGGTAAGGAAGATAAAGCGCAGAAGCAGAACATGTGGAAAAACTTAGTAAATGAGAGGAATAATAAAAGGAATTAATAAAAGGCAAAAATTCTAACTAATGCTTGGGAGGTCCTCCTGACGGGAAAGGCACTATAAAAATGTAATTTGTTGTTGTTGTTATGACTAATTTTAACAGCATGATGATTTCGCTCAATAGCTATTTTCATTGCTGTGGATTTTAGCATTACCTAAGAAACTTCAAATGGCCCTAAGTTCTTACTCTAGGAACAGAAGGAGGCCATTCAGCCCCTCGAGCCTGTTCTGCCATTCTATAAGATAATGGCTGATCTGTACCTCAACTCCAATTACCCACCTTTGGCCCATATCCCTTGATACCTTTACCTAACAAATAACTGTCCACCTCAGTCTTGAACTTGTTGCACCTTTAACAATGAGAGAGAAAGATTTGCAGCTCAGCTACAGGAAAGCCTACTACAACAACTTGGATTTATATAGCTCCCTCCACGCCGGACGGTGTCTCAGAGCGCTTTACAGTAACGATCTCGTGACCGAGCCAGGGGAAGGAAAGTGACCAAAGGCGCTATTATAATTATATTATATAATAATTATTATTATATATTATAATTACCAAAGTAACTATTAGTTACCACTATCATGTCTTGGCTCTCTGTTGGGTAATTCCACACTTCTGTTGGTTTTATTTTAAACGCTGGACAGCTGCAAATATACTTACTCTTCGGACCGCCACCACATTGTTACAGACCAGCACACCACCAACAAACTCAGCCTGAACGCCTTCCCGCAAAAGAACTTGTTTAAAATCAGATAATCTTGGCTCATTAATGAAGACAGCTTGATGTCCGGGAACCTGAAAATTTAGTTTAATAATTATAAATAATTCATTTTTTTTTATATAACTCCGTGAGAGCTTTAAAGGCTACAGATTTTATAAATCATTTTACTTATAATGAATACTCCTTTACTGTTTCAGGCTTCAATATACACTACCTACATTTTAAGGAAATTAACGTTTACAGTCAACAGTAACAAGCGATCTCAGAATGCCTTCAATGTACCTCATTTGGTGGCAATGGTTCCAGTGTTGGGATGACATCGAGGTCATCATTGGCCTCTTTCTCATCATCGTCAAATAGACTCTTGATAGCTTTTTGCTGAGCAGCAACTGGGTCGGAGGTATGTGTGGGTGCAGTAGTGTCGACCTGCATTTCTCCATCATCATCCACCCTCAAGTCCCCCTCTTCCAGAACGACCCCAGTGTCAACCTTTAACACCCTCATGTCCAAGACACCGTCTATCCAGGCCAACTCCGCATCCTTCGCTTTGCAGAACTGAAGAGAACTAACTAATGAATCCTTCAGTCGGACCTGAGGATAGAAACAGCAAGAAACACAAGGATCAATGCAAGAGTTTAGGAATCTTAAGCAAATAGATTTAGCAACCACATAAATCTCAGAAATATTCGTCATCTTGCAATGACCACCGCAATCTTTTACACCATTACTGCTCTGCTGGGTCTTAACACATTCAATGTGCCACTCCAGTGCAATTAGGACAGAAATACTGCTTATATAAACCGTGATGATAAAGCAGTAAATCTCATTTTACTAAAGAATCTTACTTTTAAAACAAACTGCATTTACATTTTCCACAGAAATAAATGGCATTTACATAGACAAAAATATTCAGGATAAAATATTAATAATGCTCCTTGCATTAAAATGCAAGTTTAATAGAAATAACATTTTAACAGCACAAAGGAATAAAGTTAGCTACTCTAACACAAACAGCAGTATGTTGAATTGTGGTTGATGGACAATATTAACAGTTATAGCCTATGATAAGTGATTACGAGAATTAGATACACCAAAGGGTTTCATTTTAGCTCACAAACAAAACTGAAAGTTCCTATTTGATTTAGATTACCAATGAAAATAAGGACAGAGGATCATAAAGAGGATAAACACCATCAAAGACTACTTGGGCCAATCAGTCTGATTACATGCTGCTCAGTGGTTAGAGCACTCGCCTTGCAAGTGAGACACCTGAGTTCAATCCCAGGCAGGGTGAAACCTTGGGCAAGTTTCCTTACTCCACACACCTAATGACAATCCCTCCAAAAAATAAAGCAATAATAAATTGGTCATTTTCAATCTACGACTCTTTGTGGGACACTGCTGTGCACAATTGGCTGCCGCATTCGCCCACAAATATGCAGTCAATGCACTTTACAGTATATTCTGTGATGCGCTTTGGGATGTCTAGAAGACACAAAAGGCACTATATAAAATGCAAGGATTATTATTATTCTATGTAATTATATGTAAAAAGTAATCATCAGAGTAGCCTCTTGAAAAATCATGTGGTATTTAATGTGCATCTTGCAATACCTGGTATATGTGAGTCTCACTGGTTGCATCCACTGTTTCATGAAGCTTTGGTGTGTAAATCTTAATGTCCTTCCCACCAAATCCCTTGCAAGATTCAGCCAGGTCCTGACTGGATTCTGGGGGTCCGTGAACAATAATCAACTGCCGCGGTTTCATCTGATTAATTATCTTTTTGATCGAGTCACCATCTGAGCGTCCCTCATAATCAATATATGTCACTCTGGCTCTGTTTAAATAAGAAGACAAATGCACATTACACTTCATGTACATACACCTTAGGCTCGAAATAAAAACTGCAAATGCAAACGATTTATTGGTAGCTCTTGATCAGATACACATGGTAACTCAATATAGATGAGAGGACACACACACATACACACACAATATTGAGCTATGACAATTACTTTGATGAGTGAAAATTAATAAACAATAATAATTCTTGAGTTTCACATTTCACTTTATCACATGGTTGAGATGTCTCAAAGCGCTTCACAGAATATACTATAAAGTGAATGGACTGTATATTTTGTGGGTGAAACACGGCAGCCAATGGCGCACAGCAGAGACCCACAAACAGTTGTGCTATCATTAAGAAGATAGGACAGAATGAAACAGAAAGCAACTGGCTTACTCTATACAAGGCACATATTAAGATATAGGATCTTACTAACCTGATTTCTATGGTATCGGATGTTGAAATACATTTTGTTGGAACGTCACTCAGGTCCTGATCCATGGGCTCCTCACCATTGCTCAGACCAGAATCAAGTTTGCTCTTCTCTTCCTCTGCTGCCTGAAGTTCAGGAACCAAGAAATCCTCTGCTCTGAAATTAAACATCGACTGATAAGTTTAGTAAAATAACAGAAACATTACAATGCAGAGCCGTGCTTCAATGTCAATGATTAATGTTGGCATTGGACAAAATGTCAGCAGCTAGTTGCAACTTCTACAGTTCATAAATAATCCACACGCACACAAAATCATGCCCACGAAACACAAAACAAGCTGACATAGAGTACCACCAAGTGGCAGAGGCAAAAATAGCACTCCAGGATTGCAATAAAATGAAAAGCTGGCATGGGACATTGCTGTGGTTCAAGACAAAATACATTTGCAAATTTATGACTTTTCTGTGTAGTGTCAGTGTACCACCTAGATCTGTTGCACAAAACTTTCATCATCTACTCAAGACTTGGGCTATTTTCTTCTCTCTTATCCACCCACTCCTCTGTCTATCTATATGCTCCCTCTTGGTGACATCATCCGTAGACATGGGGTCAACTTCCACGTGTATACGTGTGACACCCAACTGTACCTCTCTGCCTCCACCCTTGACTCCAGGACTCACTGCTGTCCTGACAGAATGTCTGTCAGACATCAAGTCCTGGATGAGAGCCAACTTTCTTCAGTTGAATATCAACAAGACCGAGGCTCTCCTGAATGGCTTCTGTCAGCACCTCCTCACCTCAGGCGCTGACAACGTCACCATCCATGGATGCACACTCCACCTTGCTAAGCCAGTCTGGAACCTTGGGGTCTTGTTTGACCCTTAACTATCCTTTCTACCCCACGTGTGCCATGACCCGCTCTGCCTTCCTCACCTCCGCAACATCACCCGGCTCCAACTCTGTCTCACACCACAGGCTGCCGAACCCCTCATAACACGCCTTCATTACATCGAGGCTTGACTATGCTAACTCACTGCTTGACGGCCTCCCCAACTCCTCCCTCCATAGGCCGCAGATCATCCGGAACTCTGCAGCCGGTATCCTCTCCCGCACTAGGCTCCGCGAACCTATCACCCCCATCCTCGCCCGACTTCACTGGCTTCCCATCACACAGAGGATACAGTTCAAGATCCTGGTCCCCACCTTCAAAGCACTCCATGGTCTTGCTCCCCCCCTATCTCTCTGACCTCCTAACCCCCTATCACACTGTTCACTCCCTCCGCTCAGCGGGCTCCAGCCTGCTTCACGTCGCCCACCTTGCTCGTCCCACTATCGGAGGGCGGGCCTTCCGCCACTCTGCACCCACCCTCCGGAACCCCATCCCACAGTGCCTCCGCCTCGCCCCTTCCCTCGCCACCTTCAAGACCCTCTTCTTCGACCGTGCTTTCGATCTCCCTGCTTCCCCTCCCTCCCCCACCCCTCAGCTCAGGTCGGTAACTCTGTCTATCCAGCGTCTTGGGACATCCTCCCGACATGAAAGGCACTATACAAATGTAATTTTATTGTTGTTGTTGTTGGGTGCCCAACCAGCTGTGTAAAACATTTGAAATACCCTCCCAACATGAAAGGCATTATGTCTTATGTAAAGTATATTGTACAAGGGTGTTACCTTCATGGAAATGTTTGTCAAATCATTTCTGCCTTCCGAAACAAAACCACATATAGATAAATCCCAGCTAGCTGGACACCTAAGCGTTCTGAGACGATACCCCGGGTGTAGGGTGCTATACAAATGCAAGTTGTGTTGTTGTTAATGGCGGAGAAGGGGGAAAAGAGATGTAGATCCAAAACTTTTCCATGTGGTGAAAGCCACGTGAAAGGGTTACAAGCGTCCAACGTACCTTATTATTTCTCCGTATTCATCCCACTTCAGTCTTTCTTCCGTGGCCGGGAACATGGGGTAAGACTTCTTAGCCTGTTTGAAGAAACTTCCTTTGCGACTGCTCTCACTTTTCATCATGAGATCGTGTTTGGTTTTCCCCGTTATCGGCTGGTCCAGATCTTCTTCAACGTCACTCTCATCGCTTGAGTCAACATCTCGCCTGTGAAGCGCACACAGTCAAGAAAATAGCCAGCTTAATAGTGGAAAACAACAGCAACAAGATTTCATTTATAGAGCGCCTTTCACGTTGGGAGGACGTCCCAAGGCGCTGGACAGTTGGGTCAGGACCCGAGCAGGGGAGAAATGGTCAGGGGGAGGGAAGGGAGGGGGTAGAAAGAATCATTAGGTTCCAAAGCCTTCTTACTCCTTTTCTTGTTCCTGCTTTTTAGCTGCTTCTTTCTTGAGTTTCTCCTTTTCCAGATAGTCTTCCAGTTCCTTCCCTTCCAATTTTACCCGCCGTCTAATCTATTTCCAAAAAAAAGAAAAACGAATTGTAAAGATCACAGAAAGTACACGACGTGTGTGAATACTATGGGACTGTTTTACATCTCTTGTGCACTTCCCAGCTACAATCTCAAAAGTGCAGATGGAGAGTTGCAAGTGGGTCATTGTTTCCCCTCTGACACAGGAAACAATGCACAGGCTTTGAAGATGTATAAATTACCAACCACCATAAAAACTTCTTTCTAAACAAGTCTAAAGCAAACAAATCATAACCACCAACTTTCACTTCCATTGTTACCTCCATATCCATTTTCTTGGTGCTCGGGTTGTCTATTAGGTATCTGGCCAGTGTTCCCGGTGTCGTCCTGTAGGTAAGGATGACAGAATTCTTTGGGTCCTGACACCACTGGATGAAAAGGTCACGAGAAAACCCACATTCCATATCAGGCTGACTGGCCAGCACAACCTTTGGACTGGGAACTCGTGCCAAGTCCGAAAGGCTGTGGCACAAAGACAGATGGCGGAACTGAAAGGGATTGTTCCGTTTGTCTTCAAAACATCTCATTAACTTGTCGCTCATCCATTCCACCTGTAATTGAAGAAGCAACAGAGATCTCTTAACAACAACAATTTGCATTATATAGCGCCCCTCATGCAGGCTGGTATCCCAGAGCACTTAACACTATGGTTCCAAGGAACTGTAATCACTGAAATGCATTCAGTAATTTGTAAAATACTAAATTTAAACTTGCATTTGTGCTTTTCACATAATAGAATGCCTGAAAGAATCTGGAAGTAATGAAAAAAACATAGTTCCAGACCAACCTGTGATTTGGAAAACTCCACCACATTGTAGCTAACATTATTTAACAAAGCGAGAGAGTAAACACTCAGTCCAGCATCCTTAGTCCTCCAGATCTGGTCTAGAAGCTGAGCCAGTTCTAACACTCGTCCAGCAGTGTCTAAAGCAATCAGCACGTTGCCATCACCACGCAATGTTTCCAAGACATTGGCTGCAAGGTAAGACACAGTGTAAACAGAAACAGAACACACAGAGCATGCCTATGCTGCCGCAAAACAAACCAATCATAGCATTAGATTATGTTTTCTAGCACACAACTGTTGGAAAGTACATACTGAGCAATTGTTCATCTCGCTGTTTTCTTCTGGGTTGAATATAAGTGGCATTGAAAGAGTCCGTGATGAGCAGAGAGGGTCTGTTGATCATTTCCACTGAACATCCATTCAGGTGGCTAAGAAAACAAAATGGGAAATGAATTACTTATTGTTCAAATTGCATGATCATGCTTTAAACCTACCTAATAGCAACTAGTTTTATTACCACATTTTAATCCACATCAGCCATCACGTTTGCACTGAAAAACACACTGCACTTAGCTCGACAGTGTCCATAGATATAAGATATAAGGAGTCCTCATCTATTCCACCTGATACAATTTTTTGTTTGATGCTTTCATAGACAGACTGTAGGTTCCATAGTAAAATGTCAACATCAGACACAAAAAATAGATAAACCTGGTTTTACAAAAGCGGAACAAGCTATGTTGATTTCCTTCACCACAGTAAGGTGCAACCAAACAGTTTAACAGAGGATGAGTTTTAGCTGGTCCCTAACAACTATGTTAGGCTGCCATAAGTAAACAGCACCTCTACGTGAACAAAAGAGCTGCAGCAGAAATACATGCTATACTGTTAAGAAGGGTGCTGTCTTATGTCACTCACATTTCTCTCTTGTGGTTAAAGTCAACACCATAAACTATTTCCTCTTCTCCATCTTTCACAATCTTCCAGATTGTTCCTCCAATCATATGGCCTGCGGGTAAAGGAGTTATGGACAGACCATGTCCTTTGCCTGGAAATGAGATACAATAGAGAAATATTCAACCGTACATAAAAAATACTAACTACGGTAAGAGAATTGTATTTTTCATTGCTTCAATTGAATAATTAATCTGAAAATACTATCATTAAGAAACAATCCTCCCAACTATTCCCTCTCCACCTTCAAGGATGCTCTTGGTCGAACACCATTCCCCATTCTTAGCCGTACAGCTCTGCATTGCGACAGCAAGCAATCTGTGAGGTTAGGAGCCTGTAAAGTCACACCTAACTTTCTCTTGTTCCTCAAGGTGAATCCCCTGACCCTGATAGTATAACTAAGATTGAAAATCCTTGCATTTGATATAGCGCTTTTCATGTCTTCTGGACGTCCCAAAGCACTTCACAGAATATACTGTAAAGTGAATTGACTGTATATTTGTGGGCAAACGCGGCAGCCAATTGCGCACAGCAGTGTCCCCACAAACAGTCGTAGATTGAAAAATACCATATGTGGGGAAAAGCAGGCATTAACAGACAATCTACCACAATTTGATGCAATGCATTGGTACTGCACAATTGTGGTTTCCATTACTTAATTCAACCTCTGAGTCTCCAAATGGATTCTTGTTTCCAAATATACCTTTTAAATTGACAATCTGGGAATACTTCAACTGCTGGATCTTGTCGAACGCTGCATCAACATCATCCAAGGTAAAGAGTGAGAAATCCTCAGTATTGTGTCGAGACTTGTAAAAAAAAGTATAAGCTTCTAAATTAAATCAGAATTTCATGCCATGATAATCAGCTCCAGGTACCATATGCTGTGCCTTACTGGCTACTATAAAAACTTATGCATCTTAGTTTTGTAACTAAAGATTAACAGCATTCGTACTTAAATCATTGTCAGAGCATAGATGTTTCTTAAATGAATTCACCTGATAGAGATCGTACATAAACATCTGTCCCATTTTGTAAACGGGAATAGTGGCATAAATTGCACAGTTTAATCCTAACCTCCCAACAGCATATGGGAGAGCGCCGAGGTGTAATGGATCCGGATGAGAAAGTAGGATTGCGTCGACTAGATGAACGTACCTGAAAACAAATTGCAATCAGTTACAAAATTGCTACCAACAACTGACATCTTCAAGTTCAATACAACTTTGTCAAAGAAAAAAATGTGATCAGAAACTGTTTTTAATGAAATGGCTACAAAATATCTCAACAAATTAGCTGAGTGAAGAACAGAGAACTGTCACTACCTATGAAACCATTCCCCGACAAGTCAGCTGTCTCAAGTGAGCAGAGGGAACTGGCACAAAAAAGTTAAAGCTGAACATACTAATGAACGTTTAACAAAAAATAGTAGTTTCAGTATTTTAGAGCGGCTTAGTGTTAAGCAAGGTACAATTATTTTTTGAAACCTTGATATTTCTCGCACATTTGACTGAAAATTCTAAACCTATTGTAATTTTGCAGCAATAACCACTAAATGCTTTACAAACAGACCACGTCACTATGCGGAGAATGACTTTGCTCACTTTTTCAGTGCATCAATTATATCCATAGAGAAACTTTCATCCCAACCACAGTCCAGCAGAAAGCGAAATTCATCCACTTGCAGGAGGTAGCAGAGAGCAGATTCCTCCTGCACTCCGGAAATCGCAGTTAGTTTGATGATAGACGTCATGTTTGGTTTTCACAGATAAACACAACTGATAAAAGAACAAGGAAAAAAAGTGAATCAGACCCAGTCTACACACGAGAACTATCCAAGTGTATAACATGGTAGAAGGCCATTTAGCCCGTTTCTTCAGGTCGGTGTTTGTTTTTCCGAGAAGCAACCCATCCCAAATCCCTGTGACCCTCATGCCACTAAATGTGTCTCGTTTATAGATTCAAATATTCACCAAAACATTATACAGGACTCAGAAGCGTGAAAGGTCGACAGTGATGTGCAGCTTCTTAGCCCATCTCTTAAGTAATACTGGTACCAACTATTTGGGCCAAACAGTCTGGAGTGATGCTGTACAGTCTATGTTCTCTGCTTGCTCTCCATCAACAACAACTTGCATTTATATAGCACCACTCACACAGGGTAGCGACGCAGAGCCCTCCAATCTTCCTACTATCTCAAAACATTGTTCTGTCGATCAGCCTCTCTCCCTACCCCACAGGAAAGTTACCAGTTCTAATGGCAATTTAGATCACGCAGCGAGTGGCCCCTGAATAACGAAAGTGCCAAACCGTAACCGCCTTTCAATCCTGTTTTACCAAGTGAATGTATGAAACAAAATTTTGCAGCAGTATCTCTTTTATCTTTATCGGTATCTTTTCGGCCCTCGTGACGGCCGCAGAAATAAGAATAAAACCTCGCATTCGGTACGGCGCCTTCTCTCGTCTCCGAGACGTCTCAAGGCGCTTCGCGGGAAGATGCTCCAAGTACAGCGACCGCGTCTATCGTGGGGGGGTGGAGGGGTTGGGGGGGGGCGAAACGTGAAACAAGTGCACTTTACCTGGGGAGCCTGAAAACTGAGGAGTTAAAACGCACACAGGTCTGGGTCGCGCTTCAATGGGACTTTAAGGGGGTGATGGTGGTGGCGGTGATGGCTGTTGTTGTTGTGGTTGTGGACTCCACAGAGGGTTTGACTTGCTTCACCCTCGGGACACTCGAGCCCCACTCGCTTGGTGAGGGCGGGGGCTGCGGTCTGTAACAGGGGGTGGGAGGTCGGGGAGGGGTTGGGGAGGGAGGGGAGTAAGAGAGGAAGGTGTGGGGGGGGGGGGATGAGGAGAGGGGGTGTCGGGGACGTGCGGCTCGTGAGGCTCCAACTGGAGAGCTTTGCCGCCCAGACCCTCGCCTCGCGCGGGCGGGCGCGCAGACAGGCCTCAGGCGCCCTTTTTTTTTTCCCCCCTCCCCCTTAAACACCCCCGGGAAGGGGGGGGGGGGAGAGAGAGAGAGAGAGGGAGAGGCAGAGAGAGAGAGAGAGAGAGAGAGAGGGGGAGCGCGGACACACAGAGACTCCTTCGCCCGAGAGAGAGAGAGAGAGAGAGGGAGTGAAGAGCTTCAAAAGAAGCCGCGCGGTCGGTGTGTGGGACTCCGCGCCGCCATTGCCGGCGCTCTCCCTCCCGCTCGCCCCGCGTCACGTGTGAGTCAGAGGTCACCGGACTGCACCAACTCCTCGACACCCCCCACAATCCCCCCCTCTCCGCGCGCAAGAGGCCGTGAATGGGCTGCGCCGGCGTCCGTCCCCCCCCTCACTCCCCCTCACCTCACCTCACGCCTCGAAGAGGAGCGGCGACGACGGAGTGAGAGAGAGTGAGTCAGAGAGAGAGAGAGAGTCAGAGGGGAGAGGCCGCGGCTCCCCAGTCCCGCGAGCGCGGACCCCCCGCCCGGACCCCACTCCACACGGGCCCCGGGGACACAGAGCTCTAAGGCCCCGATGACCTTCTCCCGCGGCCTTTCCTTCTCTCCTGTCGTCTCCCGAGGGCCGCCCTCATCGCTCGGGGCCTCTCTCTTCCCCCGGTCTCTCCCCCACCCCCCCGGGAAGGGGAGCCCGAGTGGCTCAGTGACCCCCCCCCACAGCCTCCCCCCCACAGCCTCCCCCCCCCCACAGCCTCCCCCCCTCCCCACAGCCTCCCCCCCTCCCCACAGCCTCCCCCCTCCCCACAGCCTCCCCCCTCCCCACAGCCTCCCCCCCTCCCCACAGCCTCCCCCCCCCCCACACAGCCTCCCCCCCCCCCACAGCCTCCCCCCCCCCCCACAGGCTCCCCCCCCCCCACAGCCTCCCCCCCCCACAGCCTCCCCCCCCCCCCACAGCCTCCCCCCCCCCACAGCCTCCCCCCCCCACAGCCTCCCCCCCCCCACAGCCTCCCCCACCAGCCTCCCCCCCCCACAGTCTCCCACCCCCCAAAGCCTCCCCCCCCACAGGCTCCCCCCCCCCACAGCCTCCCCCCCCACAGCCCCCCCCCCCCACAGCCTCCCCCCCCCCACAGCCTCCCCCCCCCCCACAGCCTCCCCCCCCACAGCCTCCCCCCCCCCCCCCCCCCCCCACAGCCTCCCCCCCCCCACAGCCTCCCCCCCCCACAGCCTCCCCCCCCCCACAGCCTCCCCCCCCCCCACAGCCTCCCCCCCCCCACAGCCTCCCCCCCCACAGCCTCCCCCCCCCCACAGCCTCCCCCCCCCCCACAGCCTCCCCCCCCCCCACAGCCTCCCCCCCCACAGCCTCCCCCCCCCACAGCCTCCCCCCCCCCACAGCCTCCCCCCCCCACAGCCTCCCCCCCCCACAGCCTCCCCCCCCCCACAGCCTCCCCCCCCCCCACAGCCTCCCCCCCACAGCCTCCCCCCCCCCCAGCCCCCCCCCCCACAGCCTCCCCCCCCCACAGCCTCCCCCCCCCCCACAGCCTCCCCCCCCACAGCCTCCCCCCCCCCCACAGCCTCCCCCCCCCCCCACAGCCTCCCCCCCCCCACAGCCTCCCCCCCCCCCACAGCCTCCCCCCCCACAGCCTCCCCCCCCCACAGCCTCCCCTCCCCCACAGCCTCCCCCCCCCACAGCCTCCCCCCCCCCACAGCCTCCCCCCCCCACAGCCTCCCCCCCACAGCCTCCCACCCCCACAGCCTCCCCCCCCACAGCCTCCCCTCCTCCCTTCAGATAGCGCCTGGCTGCTTGGGGCAACTTCTGGAGATGAATCCGGAGCCGAGAGCCTCGGGCCAGACATCATCATCATCATAACCTCGCATCTGATATAACGCCGTATCAGGCCTTCGAGACGTCTCAGAGCGCTTCGCAGGATATGCTGTAAAGTGGAGTGACTGTGCCATTGCCCAGTGGAACTGAGCCGCAACACAACCGCTCACAACTGACCCCAAGTTCCGTTGTTACTTGGGATCTCAGCCGGGACGGCAATATAAAAAAAGAGTGTCCTTCTTAGCTTTGACCTCTCGGGGCTGGAGATTGAGTGGAATCATCCAGGAATCGTCCCAAATACTGATCGCCTTCCAGTGACTGATCACCCTCTGCATTGAGGGGGGGTGGGGGTTGGCTAATGTGTTACCTGTGTTATTTTCGCTGGTAAACATTGTAATGAAGAGTTACAGCCATACTGCTGCTGCCCTGGTTGAGATCAGTTAATTCAGTGTCGACTGGGAAATCAACTCAAGATCTTTTTGGTCTGTGGGTGTCAGTTCACCTTTCGGCAGTGGGCGTACCGGCTGGGTCAGCTGTTGCCCACAAAATACACGGTCAATTCACTTTACTGTATATTCCGTGAAGCGCTTTTGAGACATCTCAACGACATGATAAGGCTCTATTATCAAAAGCGAGCGTTATTATCAGAACTGGGTAGACACCCAATCTCTTTGATCGCTACTAAGTGTTTTCTGGACGCGTGTAAAAATCAGTGGTTCAGTTCTACTTTAACTTGTAAATCTGGTGGGCGAGAGGAATGTTTCATCATCTGATTTACTTGGAGTATATGATTTTTACACTAATTTGATGCTTACCAAAAATTTTAATAGCATGACTTGTTTAGTTCAGGTAAAAGTTTGTGTTTGATAATTCTTCGTTGGTTTTCCTCCCTTCAGCATGGTGAACCTGGTTAGCTTTGCACGGGAACACTGGGTCAATATCCTTGTTCCCCTGGGTTTTCTACTTGGTTGCTATTTTGACAGAAGGAATGATGCAAAATTTACTGACTTCAGAAATAAAAGCTTGTTGTACAGACGGTGAGTAGTGGAATAGTATATAGACCTACATTTTCTTGTTTAATTCATATGGCATTATTTACAAATTAATTTTGGAGGCTGCAAAATGCATTAATATTTTAATATAACAAAATATATAATAATAATAATCCTTGCATTTGATATAGCGCTTTTTACATCTTCTAGATGTCTCAAAGCGCTTCACAAAATATGTTGTAAAAATAATACATCAGTTCCCTTTCTTGGCACTTATTTGGCAGTGGCAGTGTACTGAGAAATGTCTTAAATTGCAAAATATTTGTTATTTGAAATGTAAGATTGGTTTTTAAAAACTTAAAAAAAGTGAAATGCTTTTGGCATTTTTATTTGCAATATTTCATTCTTTTTATTTCAATTAAATATGCTTCTGCTATATGTGAGTAAATGGGGTCAATTCAAATTAACTACTGCAATAGAACAGTTGTATGTTTTAATCAGTCATATTATTTCTTTATTTTCAGAGAATTGAGACCAGATGAAGAAACTACATGGAAGTAAAATGACAAATCCACTGGAAATGAAGCTTGCTTACATTAAAAGAAATCAGGCTCTAAGTTAGTTCTTGGCCTTGTCAAATTTCCAGCTAGCTACCATATTTAATGAGTTTCTTTGAATACTGGTTTTCTTTCTAACATGGGATTTGGCATCAAAACATCACACAACATTTATTAAGTACAAAATTAAAATGTATCTATTCATTATTACAGCATTTACTGTTTAAGAAACTGATGTACAGAAGTATTATGTCAGACCTAATAAACGCATTAGTAATTTGTTTGAATTGTTACTTTGATTGTGAATTTTCATTCATATTTTAATGAATGCCCAGCATGAATATCTAACACGCGACAGAATGTGAATGCACTCGTAGTCCTTTCCCACCCCTCTTATTCTGGAATGGGATATGGTAGAGATAGAAAAAATAAAGTGGCGAAGAGGTGCAATATTTATGTTCCAGGATTCATCATTCATTTGTCTGAACACTAACTTGCCTCTTCAATATAAATTCTTCAGCAGAATATTAAACTTCAAAATATCATCAAAAGGTCAGTTGTGCCCTGCTGTCACCCTGAATGACTTCCGACTAATTTGAAGCAGAGTGAAATTTGAATCTGGGTGCTTCCCAGTCTATTTTATGGCAGGCTTGCTCACTTCATAAACTTGCTGAGCCGACAATGTTTTATTCAAGTTAAAAAAAAAAAATGAGATGAAAGAACAAACATCCTGTGCAGAATTACTCATCAGACACACCTACGCATTCTACGAAAATTGCACGGCCAGAAACTTATTGGAAATGTACATGAATGTACCTGCCTGACAACTCTGAACTGGCTTTACGACGCTGAAAGTGTTCAGTGCTGGATATAGCAGCCTGCGAAGCTGTGGCATTGACTGCACTAGTCCAGCATCAGTTGCTCTGCCCCGCTTGCACCCGTATGGCACAGATCTTGCATAGATGGGAATGGTTCTGCCCACACACACTTCAAAACTGGCACAGCTCTCCGAAGAGCTTGGCATCAGAAACAGGAGGAGGCCATTCAGCCCGTCGAGCCTGTTCCACCATTCTCGGTGGTGGAACAGGCTCGGCCACGGCTGATCCGCTGGTTAGTTCAGTGCCGTCATTGCAAGGGTAGCGTTGCTTTCAGGTCAGGAGGACGTCACAAAATAATCCTTGCATTTGATACAGCGCCATATCAGGTCTTCGGGACGTCTGAACGCGCTTCACGGGATACGCTAAAGTGAATTGATTGTATGGGCGAAACGTCCAACAGCAACAACAACAACAACTTGGATTTGCATAGCGCCCTCCGCGCCTCAGAGCCTTTAAACATGGCAGCCGATCGTGCGCAGCGTCGTGGATTGACCCCTGAGCAACAGGACTCCACTGCCTGGCGTGACCCAACTGCCAGTCCGCGGCTCAGCGGGTCAGTGCCTGAGTCCTGCCGCAGCCGGCCACGCCCCGCCCCCCCGGCCCCCTCGCCCCGCCCCCCCGGCCCCCTCGCCCCGCCCCCCCGGACCCCTCGCCCCGCCCCCCCGGCCCCCTCGCCCCGCCCCCCCGGCCCCCTCGCCCCGCCCCCCCACCCCCCTCGCCCCGCCCCCTGCCCTGGCGGCTCTGCTCTGTTGTTGACGTACTGAGGACGGGGGCGGGGCGGGTGCTGAGCGCTGATTGGTTGAGAGGCGGTGACGGCCGCGCGGGGGGGCGGAGCCAGGCCGCGGTGCAGGCTGGTCTATTGTCCATCATGGAGGCCATATTTCACGAGAAAGTGAGTTAAAAAGGCGGAAAGGGAATAAAAGCGCGGGGCCGGGCCTGTGGGGGGGGGGGGACCTGCGGCGGTTGGTGCCCTGAGGGTTTGGGGTGGGAAGGAGGCCTCTCCCCCTCCCTCCCCTCCGGGGCCGCAGCGACACGGGCCGGTCCCCGAGGGCGGCCCTGACCGACCGCAACACGCCCCGGGCTGTGCCGGGCCAGGCTTCCAGCCGGCATGGCGCCCGAATTTCAGGGCTTCAGCCCATGACCAGGGTTTGGGGGTTCAGGGGAGGGGGAGAGAGAGAGAGACACACACAGACGAGAGAGACAGGAAGAGACAGAAGGGGGAGAGAGAGGTGGGGGGAAGAGACAGGTGCGAAAGAGAGAGGGGGGAAAGGGAGAGGTGGGGGGGGGAAAGGGAGAGGTGGGGGGGGAAAGGGAGAGGTGGGGGGGGAAAGGGAGAGGTGGGGGGGGGAGAGCGAGAGAGAGGTGGGGGGGGAGAGCGAGAGAGAGGTGGGGGGGGAGAGCGAGAGAGAGGTGGGGAGGGGAGAGCGAGAGAGAGGTGGGGAGGGGAGAGCGAGAGAGAGGTGGGGAGGGGAGAGCGAGAGAGAGGTGGGGGGGAGAGAGGGAGAGGTGGGGGGGGGGGGAGAGAGGGAGAGGTGGGGGGGAGAGAGAGGGAGAGGTGGGGGGGGAGAGAGAGGGAGAAGTGGGGGGAGAGAGATGGAGGGTGGGGGGGAGAGAGAGAGAGAGGTGGAGGGGGGAGAGAGAGAGAGAGGTGGGGGGGGAGAGCGAGAGAGAGGTGGGGGGGGGGAGAGTGAGAGAGGTGGGGGGGGGGAGAGTGAGAGAGGTGGGGGGGAGAGAGTGAGAGAGGTGGGGAGGGGAGAGCGAGAGAGAGGTGGGGAGGGGAGAGCGAGAGAGAGGTGGGGAGGGGAGAGCGAGGGAGAGGTGGGGGGGAGAGAGGGAGAGGTGGGGGGGGAGAGAGAGGGAGAGGTGGGGGGGAGAGAGAGGAGAAGTGGGGGGGAGAGAGAGGGAGAGGTGGGGGGAGAGAGAGAGAGAGGTGGGGGGGGGAGAGAGAGGTGGGGGGGGGAGAGAGGTGGGGGGGGGAGAGAGGGAGGCAGGGACTCGCCCTCTCCGCCGCCCACAGTAACACTGAGGGCAGTAACTCTGTGCGCTCAACCCCTGCCAGGTGGTGTTGGCTTGTTGGTGCTGCTGCCGTGACCAGGCTTTGGGGGTGAAGATGGGAGAGAGGGAGGGAGGGAAGGAAGGAAGGAAGGTGGGAGGGAGGGAATTGACCCACAGCCATATCGGTGACTGTAAATCAACCCTCCCAGGTGTTCTTGACTTGCAGATGAGCCCCAGGTGTTGTTTAGCTGCTTTCGTTTTTTTTCGTTCAAACCTGCCCCATCTCGACTCCATTTTAGGGGTTGTGGTAATGGTCGCTGTGCAATGCGCAGCGAATAAGCTTGTCCAGCGAAAACAATGGGAACAACATCATCACATCGTATTTGTGTAGTGCCTTTCATGCGGGGTGGTGTCTCGGAGAACTTGTCGCCAATAACAGTGGCCTGAGCATTGCCCCCATTTGTTAGGGCTTTTGGTTTCCATCGTTAAAAGTTTCACAGACTGCTTAACCCACCAGCAGTCCCTTAGAGATAACTGTGGAACTACCCAGCGTTGAAGTCTGTGGAAATGTTTATCTATCATTCAGTGTAGTTGGTGGTGGAGCGGGGGGGGGGGGGATATTATTCTGCATTTCCTAAGTTTTGGAAAATGAGTGTGGGAATTTGGCGAGGAAAGCTTTGTATTTTGTGTAAACTTTGATTCATTGATTTTGTTGTTTACAAAAGTGAAACTGGAAAGTTGAAGATATTGCCTAAGTTCCATTTGTTTATCTGCAATACAACCCCAATTTAGATTTGTCCTCCACTTTGCTTTATTACATAATTGCAGTGAAAATCCCTGACAGTTGCATAACGTGTTTACTGTTCTTGCCTCTTACCCCAGGATTTTTGTCACAAGTCTGCCATATAGCAATTACTGCCAGAGGGTGCTGTTTTCCCAGTAAAATGTCTTCTTCCCATCATATGTTCTTGTTGTGATCTTGCAGTACACTACTTCCACATCCTGTTTTATGATTTAAAATCCATAATTCCTCTTCATTGGATACAAAGGCATCCCAGTTGCAAAGATACAAAACTGCCCAACATCGTACACCAATTGGAGATTGCCTTTCATGTCAAGAGGATGTGTTGGATTTACTGTGAAATAGAGTGACTGTATTTGTGGGTGAATAAGGCAGTCCATGTTGTGCACAGCAATGTCCCACACACAGCTGTGAAATGAATGACCCCTAATTTTATTACGGGAGATTGTTGACCAGGACACTGGGAGAAGCTCCCCTATATTTTTCAATAGTGCTGTGGGATTTGTAACTTCCACCTGAATAAGCAGCCAGGACCTTACCCTAGAATGTGACTTCATGTGCAATGGGGCTTCAACCCACAATGTTCATACCAATCAACCTAGCCGAAATGGCTTGTAAACATCCTCTCCTGCCGACAGCTTTTGTGAACAGTGTATACTTAGTGAAAGTGCTAAAAAAAAAATCTGTATAAGAATTGTATAAAATATGCTGTTGGAGAATATGCTGATGATATATATGGGCAGTAAATGCTCTGATCGATAAAAGCGAACTCAATCCAGAATTTGTTGCAATCCATTAGCATTGCTAACATTGTTAGGACTCTGCCAATGTCATTCTAATTTGTTTACCAGGAAGTGCATAAGTAGGTGGGTGACCTCTCTCTGTTGAAAGATACTAAATTTCTGCTCAGAACTCAAGCCCTCGAAATGTTTCCTGTGTAGACAAAGCCGTGTTATTAATCAACAATAACAACTTCCACTTATATAGCATCCTCCACGCAGCGTCTCAGAGCGCTTAACAGTGGCGGAGCCTGACTCCCGGAGGTGGGGGGGGGGGAGTTGACCGTAAGTAAGCACGGTCGAAAACTAAGGCATTGTGCATTAACTTGTGGCATTGTGCATTAGTACATTGTTTCAAAATGCAATGGATTCCTTCGTTGTAAATTCCGCAACCTTGACGGTTGTGAAATAGCACAACGACAATTTAATGCACATTGTTTTTTGGTTGATTATAATCAAGATACCATGTAACCATGAGCCTGACCAAGTCAGTGCTCCACATATCACATTTGCATCACTTCCCTTGTGCCTGTCTGGATTAGTGCATTTTTCTATTTTCTTTACTTTTTTTTTGGTGATGGGGGGCATATTTTTATATATCTATTCCAGTTCATATTTGTTTGTTTTGTATTTTTTTTCTTGTTCTTGGCTACAATTTGTGTACATGAAAATGAGCACAGGACATGAACACAGTACTACACTTGGAAGGGCTGAATACATGTATCATGCACACTCTTAGTGAAAGGATTTGAAAATGTTCCAGATTCGTTTCTGTTTCACTAAATATAAATGAGATTTCTTTTCATTCGCAAGAATTTTGTACAAAATGCAAATAATGATTTTGATGAACTTTTTGCTACGCTTGATTCCACAGCAAGAAGGGTCCCTCTGTGCTCAGCATTGTCTCAACAATTTGCTACAGGGAGAGTACTTTAGTCCTGTAGAGCTCTCTTCAATTGCACAGCAGTTAGATGAAGAGGAACGGGCGAGAATGGCAGAGGGAGGAACTGCAACAGAGGAATATAAAATATTTTTACAGGTAAATGATGATTTGCTTCCCTTAAATAGATGTAAAGTTCTGGGATTTTGTTTCTCCAAACACGACTAAGAAATTATTGCCTCCAAAGCCCTCCACGGCCTTGCTCCTTCCTACCTCTGTGACCTGCTAACACCATAATGAACCGTCCACTCCCTCCGCTCAGCAGACTCGGTCCTGCCTCGCTTACCCCGCCTGACCCGCCCCACCATCAGCGGGCGAACCTTCAGTCTCTCTGCCCCCACCTTCTGGAACTCTATCCCACGGTCCCTATGCCTTGCTCCTTCCCTTGCCACCTTAAAGGCGTGTCTCAAGACCCTCCTCTTTGACCACACCTTCACTCACCCTCCTACCGCTACCCTCCCAGCCATCCACCCCTCTTGATCCCAACGCCCTGCTCGGGTGCAAATCCCTGAATGTCCGGCACCTTGGGACGTCCTCCCAACGTGAAAGGTGCTATACAGATGTAATTTGTTGTTGTTATCACAGAGTTGAGATGTCTCAAAACGCTTCACAGGATAAACCGTAAACTGAATGGACTGTATTTTGTGGGTGAAACGTGGCAGCAATTGCGCACAGCATTGTCTCACAAATTGTCATTTAATGAGTGACAAATTCTATTTGGGGCTTGTTGGCCCGGACACCAGGAGCAACTCCCTTCTCTTTTCCAATACTACCATGGGATTCTTAACATCCACCTGAACAGGCAGCCAAGATCTTGGTTTAACATCTCGTCCGAAGGTTTTATTCACCCCCCCCCCCCCCCAATTACTTTGGCAAATGATGGACTGTACTCACATGCCTCAAATTGTAGGTGGTAACTGCTACAAAGCCCAATGCTGAACAAGTTAAATTTTACTGAATCTGAAATCAATAAATCAAATTATATTATGCCAAAGGTGTTTTACGTCCAACTGTTTTATAAAATGTTTCACAATTACCAGCAAATGAATTCCTTTAAACATAAGCAGGAGTTTTAACATTCCACCAAGTACCATCTTGACTTTTATTTAGCTTTTTTTTCTCAACACAGCAACCTTCAGGGAACATGGATGACAGTGGTTTCTTTTCAATTCAAGTAAGTGTTTTTAATCTCTTCAACCTGTTACTTTTATTAGCTTTTAAAAAAAATGCTTACTTTAACCCTTTCCTTCACCCGAAATAAAGATTGGAAACTATACTTGTTTTTCATGATCTTTTAGTTCCCTTTAGTGGTTATTGTTTAAGATTACAGTATAAGAAACAAGTAGGTTCAGCAGTTGCTTGCTTTAATGTAGTTGCCTGATGTTCCAGGCTTCATTTTGTTTTGCTTATCCGTTGCCATTATTTTACCTTTTCTTAAAAATAAATCTCTTCATTTCCTCCTGCTTCAGCGGATAGTCACGTTCAGTTCTCAGGCCATTGCTTCACAATAAACTGACCACCTGCTTGTCTGCTAAGGAAAAATTTGCAGAATTTGGATCACTGATCCTAGATTTCAGTTATAAACTACAAATAGATATAAAGACACAACTTCTCCCAATTGTAGAAGTGTTAAATATTAAATTCGAATAACAATTATAGAATCGAATTTTAAAAAAAAATCACTTGTGAATTATAATTGTCGGAGACTATGCAGACACCACACATTTTTAAGGTTGCCTAAAATCAAAAATTAAATTCACTAAAAAAAATCCATTAATTGTACATATATGAGAGGTGTTTGCCACATTCTATAATCTTTAAGCAGGAATTGTTTGTGGTTGGATTTTTTTAAAAACAAATATGCTTCCACTTGCTAAGCAGAAGAATAATTTGTTTGACGTTGACTGATAAAACTAAGATGTAAGTGTGAGTGGAAGAAGTGATCAATAATGGTTTTGACAGTTTTATTAAAAAATAGTTATCCACCTAATCTATAAAAAAGAGTCAATGGTCATATGTTTTTGGGGCAGCAATTAGTTTCTTTTTGATCTCTTGTTTTCTGTAAGTGCATAATCTGAGAAGCAATGACGGGCTATTTATGCAATTTATTGCAGTGCATTATGATAGCATTAGATGGTGCCAGAGAGTGTTAGTGAGGAGAAATGAGGGCAGGTCAATACATCCTGGCAGCTGGGGTAAAGAGAGCATTGGTTCGGGCTTGGGGACAGTCAGATTCACATGGTATTTGGCTGGAAAATCAAGGAAAAGGGGGGAAGAACGTAAAGGAAGAGTTTTATCCTTAAAGAAAAGAATTGTTCAACATAACTAGACAATGAACTAGTTCCTAAGCTAAAAGGATTCAGAGCTATTTCTATTTAGAGATAAAATACATAAATTATATCCTTGGGAAGTTGTATGGGTGGATTATGGTTTACTGTGAAGTTGTCAGAACTTTTGTGACTGTCCTCTCCTCTAACACCACCACAGATGTTGAACAATGGTGAATAATTTTACAGCGGCAAATATTTTGTTCCAAGTGTCTTGGTTGTTGTATGTACGAGTCTAAATTTGACACTGGTGCGATTTGATTTGGGCAAGTAACTGCTTTGCTCAGTGAGCTTGAAAAACACAAACAATTTTTAATCCATCAAAGAGTAGAAGTGTGGTGTGTCCGTGTGCATAGTCCCGGTCAGAAAAGACCCGAGAGGGGGGAAAAAACTCCGATATCAGACCGCTCGAATATCTTGCAGATCTATTTTAATGGAATATTCAATTGAAGTGGAGCGGCTTGCTGAATTATCTGTACCTTTTAATAATGCTCTGTTTCATGACCATAGGGGAAGATGAACTAGAGAGAGCATGTGTAACAAGTTGGCCCTGACCTGAGTGGTGGCAAGCAAAAGTAATCCTCTAGCAAAATTCTGAATGTTAAATGTAAAAAACAATTCTTGAGCTCTGCATCTTTCTTTCTGTTGCTTTGGCATTGCAAGTTCGCACATGAAGACGTTTCATTATTAAATAGAAAATGCTAATAAATCTATATTTATTGGCAACTTCGGTTGTAGTAGTAATACTTAATTGAAATTTAACGGTTATTACAAATTATTATTTAATGTATAAGAACATAAGAAAGAGGAGCAAGAGTAGGCCATTCGGCCCCTTGAGCCTGCCCCGCCATTTGATACGATGATGGCTGATCTTCTAACCTAATTCCATTTTCCTGCCCTATCCCCATATCCATTTAGTTTTTAAAAATCTATCGATCTCAGTCTTGAATATGTTCAATGACTGAGCATCCACAGCCTTCTGAGATAGATTTCCATAAATTTACTACCCTCTGAGTCAAGAAATGTATGGAGGATTCAAATATCTTTTTAACAGTTCTTTCTAACATCCTACAGAATAAAGTGAAATAAATGAACTGCCTCAGAGTAGATGTGCCGTTTAAAATGCATTAACTGCTGCTGCTCTCTAAAAACAAATAATGCAAGCTTTGACCACAAATTTTACAAGTACTTTAGTTCATCAAGTGGAAAATTGCAGACAAGTAAATTTCTGTGTTGGATTTAGCTCTTTTTCTTTCCCTCCCCACATGCTTTTGTTTCCTCAAGTCATATCGCTTCCTGACATCCCATTCAAATCAACTGTGTGTCAACTCGAAACTTGTACAGTAACTCCTCCTTGGCTACTTGATGCTAGTGTTGCTCTGTAGTTCAGCCAATAACTTATGTGTTTATTGTTTGTTTTTCCAAAGAGCATTGTGCACCTCTTTCCTCTTCCTTTGCGACTGAAGCTCTTGTCTGTCTTAGATGCGGAGAGTTTTCCAAGCGCTTTTCCAATTTATTATTCACTTAATTTCAGTTGCACAATGATCAGATCTCAGTACAACCAGATCTATTCATCTCTTTGAATCATTGCTTGAATTATGGTCAGCTGAGAGTATCATGTTAGATTCCCCTTGGTGAATAAAGTGATTGTGAGATTTAAAAGTCATTTGGAAGAGTTGAATGTTTTAAATGTTTTGACACTCAGCCTTTGCTAGCCTTCAAAAGGGGCTTGAGGGGTTGTTGTGGAAATAATATATAAGTAGCTAGAACCTCCCTCCAAAACCCCCCCCTCAGCACATTCACTGATAAATAATATCAGGGAGGTGGAAATTCATCCCAGTGTTGGGCTAACAATTGTTCCAATTGTTGGAAAATTATCATATATTATACAAAGTCATTTAGAATGTACTACGTAAAATCATTACAACTTATCCAAGATCGAAGACTGATACGCTGTTCACACAGTACACAGTATTTACTGTAGAAACTTTCTTTTGCTTTGGAAACATAATTGATAGTATACAATACACATTTATTCTTATGACATAATAGACTGGGGGAGGGGGGTTGCCAAACAGTTACACAATGTTACACTCCATTTGGGTTATATACAGTGTGATGTGAATAGTTTATTACTATTACTTTGTACTATTACTATGTTAGGTCGTGAGTCGTACAAAACAATGGCAGTATTATCTTATAATTCAATGCATTGAGTTTTTGCATGCTTTACAATCTGTTATATTTTAATATGTGTTTTAAGTGGGCTCCACTGTATGCCTGTAAAATTCAAAGAGCTTTCAAAGTAATTTTATTTCTGCAGGTGATTAGTAGTGCCTTGGGAGTCTGGGGTTTAGAACTTACCCTCTTCAACAGCCCAGAGTATCAACGATTAAGGATTGACGCAGTGTAAGATATGTTATATGTAAATACAGTGTGTTCTCTTTTTTTAATTGATATTAAAAAATACTGCTTTATTTTTCTAACTATACCGATCTTAATTTTAATTTTCAGATTTTGGATTCATTTATTCAAATTTTCTGCTTTTTAACAAAAAAAATTACTGCAAATATATAATGGACAGTCATTTATGGAAATAGGATTTTTTTTATTTAAAAAAAAGTGTTGATTCTTTCATCAAAGCCCTCGTGGAAATGGTTTAAAGTATATCCACAATTTATTGTTTTCACAGAAATGAAAGGGCATTTATATGCAACTACAAGGAACACTGGTTTACAGTACGAAAATTAGGAAATCAGGTAGTTTTTAGCCTACTAACTCTAAGGTGCACTGTAGAATTTTGAATCTCGCCACAAAATATTGACGTTTGAAATGTCCCACTTTTTCAACTGTTGCCCATATTTTCAACTGTTACCGTGCCATTTCAGAAATTTAATCGAAAGATTTTTAAAACATACTGTGGTAGTATTCCAGAGATTCAAATGAGTTAGTTCAGTACACCTGGTTTGATATAGAACGAGGCAAAGATTCCCTATATGATGTCCCTCAAATGGATTAGCATGCCAGAATACCAGACTGCCACTTCCTTCCTTAAATCAGGACCCAGCTTTCTTAAGACAATTATAGGGAAAGAATTGCAGGAGGTGAAAAAAATCACCAATCCTTCAAAATCATAACATTGGTTACAAAAAAATCATTGGTTTTATTCGCCAGCCTTTCGCGTGAATAGGTACACCCCTTTTCTTCCTGGGTTAGTGATCAGTGTGGAGTCATCAGTATGAATTTAATTTCCCTTGTAAACCTTGATTGATTCACTAAAATAAGAAATAGGTACATTTGGTGGTCTGCTTGACTGCAGTCTAACTTACCCAGAGTTTCAGCACTAGGTGGCATAAATAGCTAGGAACCGAAAGAGCATGAGTCATTTTTCACTGATAAAAATACCTATTTTCTTTGGTTAAAAGACAATCCTTTTTTTAAAAAAAACTGAATTTAAGATTTTAAAGCCAAATCCGGCAATTTTTTCAGCCTCTGTGATTGTGCATTGGCTTCCCAAAATTTCGCAGTAGATTCTATCTTTGTGTTAAATTGTCCCCTCTGTTTTTCCCATTTCTTGACAGAAAAAATGGAACCCAAAAACCCTAAAACATGTTTTTAAGAATTAAAAAGTGACTTTAACGGTCCTTGTTGATAGCTATACGTGAAGATAGACTTATGTAACACTTATGTTTCTTTGCGATGTGTGTTCAGTTAGAAATTTTTGATTTCTAGGTTGTTAGTCACAAGGAATAATGGCTATTTTTCTTTTCTGGTCAGTGGTTTAACTTGAATTCCTTACTGATGGGTCCTGAGTTGATCTCCGACACATACCTCGCCCTTTTCTTGGCTCAATTACAACAAGAAGGTATCCCTGTTAAATATTACAATATAATTAATAAATAGAGATTAATAAGTTGGAAAAAGAAGCTAATTGGAGAAGCTGTGTTTTCTGACTCTTTTGAGGTGACTCATCAGCCTTCTAAACAGAGGAAGCAATAATTCAGAAGCTTTTTACTATTATCAGTGCAAACCGGATCACTGCAATACCTCACAGGTTTTATGAATTTACGACCCAGGTCTACTTTTTAAGATATTTATATAAAATTACTTCTTTTAAGTACGTATATCCATCAGGGAAATTTCACTTTCCTTTTCAGATCACACCCTAAATTTGTTTGCTATACAATTCATACGATTCTATGTATTTTTTTCCCCAAAAAACGTCTTCACGTTAGCTATCATAAAATGAACCACTGTTAATCTCTTTCATAATTTTGGTCATTATTTCACTTCTTTGTTACAAAGCAGAAAGCAGTCAGTAAGTCAGGTGTGGAATGAAAATAAATGAGTAAAGTGGGAGTGGTTTCACTGAGGTAACAAACAACAAAGCTCAGAATATAAATGATTAATAATAATAATCCTTACATTTGAAGCACTTCATGGGATTTACTGTAAAATGTAGTGACTGTATATTTTGTAGCTAGGCAAATCAATTCCTTTGATTGAGCAGCTAAGTTTTCTGAGTTCACAGTGAACAGATACCTGATAGTTCTTTCCTGTTCCAGACATTTATTTACTAACATGGTCTTGAACTCCATGATTATATAAGAAACAGAAATAGTTTTATGGAGCATAAAAACAGTGCTGCTACAGCTCTTAAATCAACTAGGACATAGGTTCCTTTATAATCATAGGCAATTGCAGTTGTAGTACAGTAACAATTTAAAGCTCATAAAATATTTGTTTTAATTTAGAACAAAATTGCCTTCTGGTAAAGCTGTGATTGCAAATATCTGTAGAGTGACATTTGTGTGTGCAGTGGACAAAGTAGTCAAACGTGGAGCTCTGTGTGAAGTTTGTTTTGTTTCCGCAGGTTATTCAATATTTGTATTGAGGGGAGATTTACCAGAATGTGAAGCTGATGAACTGCTGAAGATAATGAGAGTAGTGCAACAAGAGAGACCCAAGCTGATTGGAGAGGAGGGAACCCAGAGGACACAGACCGAGAGCAGTCCGAGGTAGTGAGCAATGTGGAGAATTTCATTTACAGTATTGGATTGGGCTGGGATCGGCATTGTAAAAAATAAGTAAAAGTAAAAAAAAATTATAATAATAATTTGGTCATTTAATCTACGAGTGTTTGTGGGACACTGCTGCGTGCAATTGACTGCCGCGTTTTTCCCACTTAATCTATAGTCAATTCACTTTACAATGTATCTGCAAAGCTGTTTGAAACTTCTTGAAGTCGCGATAAGGCACTATATCAAATGCAAGGATTATTTTATCATAAAATGGGGAAGAAAATGGTTTTGTTTTCAAAAATATATTTATTCCCTACCACAAGGCAGGATGGCGCAAATCCCCTTTTGATTTCCATCCCAGTCTTATTGCAATCCTTAATTTTGTTATAGAATGGAATGAACGGAACATCAGCTATTTAAGATGTTTTGTCCCAAAAATGCATTACCAAGTTGAGCAATTTGCTAATAAAGAATAGTTTATGTTGCATTTAACCGTGTCTTTTTTGATATTAAATGACTTGTGATTTTTTCGATATGCAATTTGCCCCCCCATCCCCATATAGGTGCATTTGTGTTTTGTATCACTGTGGTTTGGTGGAGGTGGGGGTTGCTGTGGGTGAGATCTCTGATGTGAGAGTGAAAATAATCTTGATTTTATCTTCCACCTATTGTAAACGTTCACACCAGCACAAATCCAAAGAATGTTTGCTCTTATAAAACAAGAAATAGAGATAATTCTACAGTAGATTAATGGTGGCCTATGGAGCGTGATTGAATGTCTGAACTAAACTGTTGGGATTTTTAATAGTTGTTGGCAGAAAAGGCATATTTTATAAAAAAAATTTGTAGTAAAAAAAATCTACTCTCTGTTTCTCGTGTTCTGTAGCGTACAGAACAGTGACTGGGAGCAAACAATCGATGCCAGTAAATCCGTTACCAGCGTGGTCGACGAGGATGATGAAAACCTACAGAGAGCATTGTCATTGAGCCGTCAGCACATGGAGACAGAGGACGAGGAAGCAGATCTCCGCAGAGCGATTCACCTCAGTATGCAAGGTGGGGATTCACCCAGCAATGCAGGAGAAAGCTACCAGTTCTCTTCACTCTCTCGACCTTGCAGTACATTTCAACAACTTGGCATTTATATAGCGCCCCTCACACAGGGTAGGATCCCACCAACCATGGGTTAATCCATGCACTATTTTCATATTTTTGTGGCATTCCAGGTAAGGCTTATTTGAAAAAAAAGAATAATCCTTGCATTTGATATAGCGCCTTATCTCGTCTTAGAGACGTCTCCAAGCGCTTCACAGAATATCCTGTAAAGTGAATTTACGAAATCCGAGTTGTGTAAAACAGTGTTGAATTGTTGAGCAGTGTATTTTTACAGCCTTGTGCGTTTCTCTCAGCTATATGCAAAAGCCAATCCAGAAGTCTGTACTGATCCCTATGGGGTTGAGATGCTCCTGGTTATAGCTCCATAGGGAAGGCTGATATTTAAATAGTTATTATCATCTTGCTATAATCTAGTTCAGTGAAAAGGATTGACCAGTGTAGCTTGAAATTGAATTTTTTTTGTAACTGTTGACTTTCAGAAAGTAAAATTCTGAAATGTAACTGCATATTTTGTTTTGCACCATGTTTATTCTTTGATCAAAAGCCCCCAAATTGGGGTCTGAACATGACTGTGACCTACCTACCTGTCAGTAGTGTTTCTGCAGTTAAAATATAGTTTACACTTGTATAAGGCCTTTCACATCCGGAGGACATTTCAAAGCCATTCACACAGCTGACTAGACAGCTATGCCTTGGGTGTGGGGAGCCAAGAAGGCTCAGGGGTGGGTTGGGGAAGATGACTGAAAGCGCATTGGAAGAGGTAAGTCGAGGCGAGCTTTAAAATTAGGGAGGGGGCGAGGGGGTAATGTGCAGGGTTTCCAGGATGGAGTCCCAGAGAGCGGGAGTAGAATTGCTGAAAGATCGCCCACCGATTAAGGGGCAGATCAGGCATGAGACGTGAAACGAGTTAGTTGTGTTTGGACTGACGAGAGATTACAAAAGTTTTTATCCTTTGAAACAGAAAGGTCCAAAAGAAGGTGATAGACTGCTTCACAGCCCTGCATGACTACAAAGAGAGCAAAGCTGTACTGTATACCGTATGTACATACAGTCGCAAGCCTGAGGTTTCGTTACTGCTGTTTTGTTTTAAGCGTTTCGTAAATAAAACATGAAAATGTTTTTATGTTTTTCATTTTATCTGTAATTTTTTTTAAAAAAAGCTTTAGTTATAGTCTTAAGTAAATCTCTGTTTCTGTGGACATTTCTTTAATGACATAATCTTTAATTTATTTTGTGGGAAATCTGAACAGCCGCGTATCCTTTAGCTTTAATGGTTCGATAGATGATGCAAAATATTTTTATTTCAATACTAATCATGTAACCTCAGAGGACAATCATGTATGTTACAGGAATTACACGGCAGGTTGGAGCTAAAGAGTACACTACCTCAAAATCTTGGGGCACATTATTCACTATCCGATGAAACTTGCAGCAATGATGTAGTGATTTATTTAGTGTAGCTCCTCATAGCCACCTGTAGAGCACCAGCACAAGAGCAGATTTGTATCTTGTCCTTTAAGCCAGGAAAGATATATGGCACAGGACATTGAAGCCAAAGCTAATACATTAAGTGGGAAGAAAACTCTCATATAATCTTGGGTCACTGCAGTTTTATACTTTTTTTTTAACCATTTTGGTTTTCAACCAAAATTTAAAGCTTTATGTGAAACTCTGAGCCCAAATGTTGTTGGTGGTAAATCGTTGTTGTTGCCATGCCGAGTTTACAGTTAGTTCATTGTGGGTAGTCTTTTCATTTGATGTCTGGAATTATTACCAAAGGAATTAGTTGTACATCAGTAAAACTTGTTAGGATTTTGGTTTTTGTAAATAATAATAATCCTTGATTTTTATATAGCACCTTATCACGTTATTGAGATGTCTCAAAGTACGTCACAGAATATATTGTAAAGTGGATTGACTGTAATTTGTGTTAATTTGCATAAGTTGCTTTAAGCATGTGCATGTCACTTATAAATTATTCCTTAGAAGAGAAATGGTCATGATTAGTTGGAACAATCACCTTTCAACATACAAAAGAGTCTCTTATATCGCTATTCAAGTGGTAGTGGAAAGGCTGCTTTGCTGATGGCCGCTTACTAGTGAGCATTAAATGGGTCTTAAGAACAACGTGGAAACTGATGCACAAATTATTTTATTACAAAAGGTTGGACAGCAGATGGTTGTTCTCAATGATATTCTATGACACTGAACAGAATAGTTCATGAGTTCAAATTTAATGACTGTTTAAAGGTTTGCAGCAAACCGATAAATCAATCTGCTGTGAACATTTATTATTCAATAATGCAGTGGACTATTCAAGCTTAGTTTAGAATAAATAGGATGTAAAGTTAAAATAGCACAGTTGTAATATTTCAATTCTTTTTCATTGGCGACAGTTTTCCGAATGCAATAACTAAAGGCACAGATCATGGATATAATAATAGCAGCTCAAGTGCGAATTGACAAACTGGGTTATTTTATGATTCACTGGGATTGGATCTGTTCTGGTGCATAAGTGACATTACAGTGCAGCCAAATCCAACTCTCGATATCTCTCAACAATAACATTACTGACTGCTGAAACACAAATGTTTCAGATGTGTTACAAATGGCATAGCTAATGCAAAATGTCTTGAGATAGTGGCAAAAAGACGATTGTACATTAGATAATAGGAAATAAAACAGAATATGTTAACACAATAATAATATTGTAAAATCTGGCACTCGTTCCATCCACAATGTTAGACCAAGAAATGGTAAGTATGGGATTTACACCAATGCACCCAGTATGAATTTTTATTTCATTCTAGTGGAACAGCGATAACACACAGCTTGTAGAGTGTTGCAGTAATGGCTGCTGGGTTCCTGTTGCTTATAATATTTATGTAACCTCTATGAGAGTATTGTAAACAGATTATCTGTGTATTCAGGTGACACACAGTTGTCTCAAATGCAAGATGTTCTGAACAGAAGGATACTGTTCAGTCTGCAAAGTATTAGTTACTGGCAAGAGGGAATTTGACATTGAGCAGTGTAAGGTAATTTACATTAATGGAAGTAATAAGCACATTTCCACAATGGACAGCATATTGTTCAATAGATGGGGTGCAGAAAAGATTTCCATATAATAAGTTGAGGAAAACATTAAAGACAGTGCTACATTTTGTAGTTATAAGAAATGTTGAACTGTTGAGGTGAATTAATAGACCTGTAGAATATATCCAAGGCAGTTACATTGATAAAGTATAAAGTATTAGTGAGTCCACACCTGGAATATTGTGCTCAGTTTTGGTCATTGTTCTACAAATAGACAGGGAATTCAATTGAGAGGAATTCGCAGAAAAGCAACCAGAATTGAGATTTTTCCATCAATAAGCTATGAAGAGAGACTACAAGAGCTCAACCTGTTCCTGTTGGAAAGAGATTAAGGGGGACTAAAACAAGAGAGTTGATTGGGTAGGTGCTGCGATATTTGTCATTCAAAACTAGAAAAGGGATTCCAAAGATACCTGATTAAAACCAGGACATTTTCAGTTAAACAAAATATTACCTTTTCATTTGTGTGCATTAGAATCAGATCCATCAAGCAATTGAAAGGAAATCATGAGGCAATGTCCATTTAATGAGCTTTGCTCCGTTTATTGCCTAGTGTGCTTTGCTCATTATAGTCCAGCTTAGCTCTATATGAGCACCACAAGCCCTGTTATTTTTCTCTCGATGTTGCCAGCAGTGGTTCTCTGTTCTCCAGCAAAAGGTTATCTCACAAGTGGAATCAGAAGCTGTGAAGTGTTTGGAATGCAGATGAAAACCCACATCCCAGTCTGCCATGCCACCATTAAGATTGTGTTCTGTTTTAAGCTTGTTGTTCAATGTTGTGCTATTTTTACATCGCAGATGACGTGTATTCCTCCGTAGGTTAGATGTTGCTTTTAAAAAAGATAAGAATTTCTTATCATGACTCGACTGTAGTGGGTGTGTCAATTATGTAAATTCATTCCAGCCTACATATTTCCATAGCTATTTTTAGAAAGCTAACATATATCAGGCAATAACAATTGTGAGGTGTTATATAGTAGATCCAGTAAATTGAAATCCAATCATTTTTAGCGTTAAAATACAGCTATTTAAGAGAAGCTAAATTGTATTAAAAGCAAATAAACTTACAGCACAAACTGATGAATTATCCGATGGGTCAAAATTAATGTATCTATATGAACCCTATTAAATTGATTGCTGTAATCCGAAGAGGGTTTTGAGTGATCGGTTGTAACAATCCTATAAGCAGTAGTTTCAATAGGAAGATGTAAATAGCCCTAAATGATGAGCTGAGTCAAATGGCCTTGCCTCATTTCAGCATTCTTACAGCTATTAATTACACTCTTTAATCAGTATCCCTGACTACCTCTGCTTGATTCCACCATTGAATAGGATCATTATTGCAACTGTCCACAAGAATGCATTTGCATTGCAGTTTAATTCCAGAGAGATTGGAGATCTGTGAGAATTTTTAGACTGCAGCAGATAATGGTGATGACCAGTTTTACGACAGAATAAATTGCTGTGCACGAATGAATAGTTTGATGTTCTGATATTCTATGACAGTAGATAATTTTTGCTATGTATCTGGAGTCACGCTAATATACGTCTTTTTCCACATAAAAGTTTCTAAATTTGGAATTTATGCATATGTAACAGGATGTCATGGCAGTCTGTCAACAAATGTGCCTTCAGAGGCCTATTAATATTAATATGTGGATGGCACTGTATATACTTCATAGCTGCAGGCTTGTGTATGTGTTTAATATTGCACCTTTGAGATGCTCTTAATTGCTCTGCCAACAAATGTGCCATTTGATGTGGTGCTGAACTGTGCAGCCTGCAAGATCCCAGGATAAGTCCTTCATCCGTGATGTGTTGTCTTGTCTTAACTAGCAGGAGGTGCTAAAGATGTCCTCATTATTTAAGAATGGAGGAGAAGGAGCAATTATGTAGGATTCTCATTTCTCATCACTGTTGAGTTGCCTCTGCTGGAGATGTGCATACGTGTGAAAATTGGTCTGTAATGCCCCCACCATCACATAACACATTGATGATCACTTTCTGATCTGACATATGAGAAATATACCTTTTAAGATTTAAGGGTTATTTTACTAATGTGATATTTGTAATGGATCTTTAGGTTTTGGACAAGGAACAGAAATTACAGAAGTGACCTCAAACGATGTTGCACAATCCTCAGGGATAAATCAGATTAGTCCAGAGGAACTCCGAAGGAGACGACAAGACTACTTTGAGAAGTAAGCAGGCCTTTCGATCATGTTGGAGAATTTCCTTCCAAAAGAGTATGCAATAATATTGTAAAATCATTTCTTTAACTGGTTCAATTCTTGTACTGAATACTAAATACATAAATTTATAAATTCTGAATATTAAATTGTGTGACGATTGAGGCTGTGAGCAAGGGGTGGTGGGGTGTAAGAGAAGCAATTACCTTCAGGATTTTTGGTGAATCTATTGTATCTTCACCAATATGTTTTGTTTCCAACAGAAAACAACCATGTGCACAACCTTCAAATTCAAATCAGCCTGAAAAGCCAGGTTGTACAGCACTGCGAGTGAATTCAGGTGTGTGGTTGCTCATTCAAATCCTGTTCATAGTAACTTCTTTTAAATGAGATATAACATGACACTAAAAGCAGAAGTAGCAATTAAGTTCACTCATTTTTTTTTTTACCCCCGCCCTCCCCCCCATCTATAGCTAGCGTGACTGAACGAGAGACGCCTCAAGCAGACGTGAACAAGTCATTAGACACTGATGCCAATGATAATTCGAAAGAAAAAGGAAGTTAATGAGAAGAATGATGTACTAGCAACAACTGTACTCCGTTTGTTAACTCGCATGAACTGCATTACCCTTGTGCTCCTGTCACAAAGAGACAAATGTACATATGTTTCAGAGAGAGCAAAGATTGTTCAATCTTGACGTAAATTGTAGGCCATCTTTTGGGATCATTTGTGGTAGAACCTGCAAAGATTTCCAGTTTCTGGTCTTCAATTGCAGCACCTTACCTTCTGTCAAACTCTTGTCTACAACCTCGCTGAATAAAATACAGGAGGACAAAATAAGATTGCATCCACACAAGCCTTGTCGTTTGAGAAAAGGTAACTAAACATTTCCTGATTAGTTATACAACCAGTGATGGGACCACAGAAGACAAAAATGCTGAAAGTTTTAGCTTCTTTGCTTTTAAAAATGAATGTACTTGTTTTTAGCTAAATTTGTAAATTTGTGATTACTCAAGTGTGGGAAAGGGGACTTGCAACAAGCACTTGTTGTTTATTTTGGCAATGCCGAAAGTTTACAGAGTATTTTTGTTTGTTTGGATGTGGACCTTGCATTGGTATTTTAATGCTGCCTGCTTGTTTTAATATTCTTGTAATAATTCATACCTTTTAATAATGTGATACAAACCGCATTATGTGGGGTGCCGAACACACACATGTTCAGCTCATAAATCTCCACTTTGATCAAACCAATGTAACTCCAGTGTTGTCAAATGTAACAGGTGTAGCTTTGAGTGGGAGGAGGAAATACACGGAAAGCACTTCAGATGTTTCGAGGATGGAATGAGGTATAGAAATATTTTGTTGAAGAAAGATGGTACCAGGGACCAGACGAACACAGGGAAAAACAATAAAACCAAGATTAAATGAATTACTGTACATTTACATAATTATTGAGGTCAACTCAGCCTTTATGAAAGTTTTCTATCAAGTTTTGCATTGAATGATTGGGAACTAGAAGGGAGTAGGTACTGCTTGTGTGAACTTTACTGATTGTATGCTATATTTCTTTCATCGCAGTAATATAAATCTAGTCAAATTGCCGTGTATTGAGATTTATCAATGCTGACACTACGTATTAATGTCTTATAGACTTGGATGTGTTTTGATTGTATGGACCGAGATAACCTATTACAGATAAACTTGCATAACCTATTACAGTATGTATCTTTCATTTGGAATAAACACTGTTTTTAAAATGTATTGGATTGGCAAATGCACTTTTTGTTACAACATAGATTGAGAGAAAGTTTAATTGTATTTCTGGTGATTTTCGTTCCTTGTACCCCATGCAAGATGCATGGCAGAAATCTACTGGTGTGTCAGTGGTATTCTTCACATATGCGTCTTGACAGGTTATTTGACTATGGAGTGGGAGGGCTTCATTGACTAAGCCTGACCTCCACACACACACTTACCCACATATACTTTCCAGAAGAGATCATTGAGCGGATTTATTTCCTTTTCTCCTTATCTTCCAAGCCTGGGGACACTGAAACCAATCATCATATCCCACCACCTGCCACTGGCTAACTCCGGTCTCCTTGATCTTTCACGACTTAGTCTGGCAATACGTGGTACAATTCAGCAATTGGCAAAGCATAGGCCCTTTGTTTCCTGCAAAATTAATATTTCCAGCAAAATAATAAATATCTCAAAAAATTATAAAAGGAAATGATTGATTGTGGTGGTTTCCAGAAAGAGATATCATCACACTCTTAGATTCATTAAGACAGTTCTGCAATAGAATTATTAAAGTGGTAGAACTGGTCACATATCAAAACTACAATTGCTGTTTTCAGTCCATATTGACTAAAGTGTAGGAAACCCAACTAAATGTGACCAGGTTGCACTGCCTGAAAATTTTAATGTATTTTTAAGCAATACAATACTTATTCAATTAATTACACACCATTTGATGGGACTAAAATCTAATTTTTAAACAGAATGTGCCAGCAATAACGCAAGCAGCAGTCATGATCTCGCAAGACCATTGCAATGAATTCATGCTGATGGCTATTAATTTGGATTTTATTACACGTATGCATGAAGGTGGTGCAAAAATGGATACTTGTAACTTAAATTAATATGATGACAACATTGAAGGAATAACTGCTCATTTCTATTTGGTTTCACACTTCGCCAAGAAAGCCAATGACTTGACACGTGTAGAATTTGCATAGTTTGCAAGCTTCGAGTGTGCATGCATCCTGGAGATAAGATGCACGGCCTCAAAAATAGTATCCATGTCGCGAATGATCAAAATAAAAATACAATTTTGGAATTAGGAGTATGTTTCCTTTGACAGAACGTGGAGATAATTGGCGAATGAGTCATTTCCTGCTCAGTCAGGAGTCGGGTCTGTGTGATAAGCAGTTCTGAAATGCATGCATGCTTGCACTGATTAAATACGTCATTCCTTTTTTTTTCCACAGATAATACATCTGTAGCTCAACTGTCTGCATGAGTACTGTCTGACATTTTGCAATGTGGATCTGAACAGACTTCAAAAATAATGACTCAAAATCAGATAATTCCTTTTAAAAGAAAATACTTGGTGCAGTCAACACTTTTAGGTATTATCAAATATGCAGAAAATGAGCCATTCAATTCGGATTGTAAATAAACCCAAAGGTTGAGTGTTTTCTTTGGTTAGCAGGTGACCTATTTAGTGGAGGGTCTCAGTTTGAAATACCCATTAGGAGTGACAATCACCAGGTGATTTTCATTTCCTCTCCCTTTCTTCCTCAAAATCCCTGTTACAATCAGAAACATGTTAGGAATTACAATAGCTGACTCCTTCTATGGCACTCTATGTCACCATTTTTTTATGTAGCACTATCCAAGCATTATGACACCTGACTACCCTTCACTTACTTACTTGCACTGTAGATTTATGTATTAAGAACATAAGAATTAGGAGCAGGAGTAGGCCATTCGGCCCCTCGTGCCTGCTCCGCCATTCAATAAGATCATGGCTGATCTTCTCACCTAACTCCGATTACCTGCCCTATCCCCATATCCCCTAATCCCTCTATTTTTCAAGAATCTATCAGTCTCCGCCTTGAAAATGTTCAAGGACTGAGCATCTACAGCCTTCTGGAGTAGTGAATTCCATAAATTCACTACCCTCTGAGTAATGAGATGGATCGGGTGGAATTCAATACTGCATTTGGAACTGGAATGCAGTTCGCCCAGAACACGCAGTCACAACGCTTTACAATGCATCCTGTGCAGCGCTTTAGTAAGACGCCTCAACGACGTGATAACACCCTCATCAAATACATGGATTATTATTATTATTACTGCTTAACATCTAAAAGTAGTTGGGATTTTTTTTTACAAATCCGGGTCAATGCTAGCAGACCATAGGGGAATGCAACTCTCTTGATGGCAGCCTGTTTGCAGATTTGTGTTGCATTTCTTTTAAAATCTGAAATATAGAAATATGAATTAATTTGAACTGGGATCCTGTGACTCAATTTTCCTTAAATCTGTCTGAAAATCAATTTGAGCTACAGCTGTGCCTCTTGTCCATGTATGTGTGGGCACATTTGTCTGCTTGTGAACAAAGCTTCCTTTCAGCGTTTATGCAATTAAACTTAATGCTCTGCATTCTTTGCAAAGGGACATTCTCTTCCAATGCCTTATCAAAAGGGGAAAACTTACATTTGGTAAAATGTCATTAGAAGTTCCCATTGGTAACATTTTAACTCCATTTTAACATTTCCCTTTCTCCCCGGTGCCCTATGTGTGTGTCGATGAGCAATAATAATAATCCTTGTATTTGATACAGCGACTTATCATGTCTTGGAGACGTCACAAAGAGCTTCATAGAATACACTGTAAAGTGAATTAATTGTAAATTTTTGGGCGAAACATGGCAGCCAATTGCGCACCACAGCGTCCCACAAACAATCGCGGATTGAGTAACCACATTTTTTAAAGAGATTATTATATCCAGAAAAACGATCCGCCAATTGACTAAACAGAGGTAAAGGTAAACAAGAGGTGTGTGTGTGTGTGGAGTAAGCAAACTTGCCTATTGTTTGGCCCTGCCTGGGAATCGAACCCAGGGCCTCTCTGGATACGCATTTTCTCTGAAGCGCAGTTTTCAGCAAAACATTCAGGTCTGTACATGTGGCGGTATCACGTTCACAATCTGATTTTCAATTCCCTTTAAAATTCAAAAGATCTTTCAGAACCTTCCTCAATGTAATGTGTACCCAGAATTCACAGACAAAGACATCTTATCTCCTACGGAATGAAACAATGACTTTGTTGCATTCACCTTTTCAGTAGCGCACCTTTCAGGCCAACAACTAGTGCTCTGCGCTCAATAGATTCCACATAATCTCTTGCTACTATCACAAGCTGTTCCAATAAGAATCTGATAAAAACTCTGGAAAGCTTCAAAGAAGGCTACAGCCATGAGGAAAGATCATGATTGCCTTTTGAAGAAGACAAGAGTTTAAAATTATATACGATTAGGATAATTTATTCTGCCATGTAACAAAAGAACTAGACTGAGTTCTCAGAAATTTAAAGAATTCAGGGTTATTAGATGAAGAGGTAGATGTGTTAAAAGGAATCCTTTAGAAAGTTGGTTGGGTAATGAGTTGGGCCAGTGGTATTCTCAGTAGACTACTGTGTGCAAACTCTTACAATATTCTGTTGTGTCAGCTTTTCACCTCTGAGGCAGAAGTAAGTGGTTTCAAGCCTCATGGGAGCAGTGCAATGTTGCAGGTACCGTACTTTCGATGAGACGTTAAACTGATAATCTATCTGCCTGTTCAGGTGGACATAAAAGACCCACGGCACCGTTCTTCTTGAATTTGAAAATTACGTTTGCCTTCAAATTGCAGTCACAACACTTCACTAGAAATTCTTTGTGCTTTGAGACATCCTCCTGACGTGAAGGTGCGATACGAAATGCAATGGTTATTATTGTTACTCAAAATGTAATCAGAGAAAACAAGATACGCCCCACTTACACAAGAGAAATTGGCCATACTTCAATCTGATCTGAGGGATTTGATGGTACCAGCTCTTTGATGCCAAACCGTAAAACACTCATAGAAAAAAATATATTAGGGAATTCCCATTAGGGAATTAACAATGAATCGCTAGTCAACACAATTACTATGGAGAGCAATTGAATTAATCTTTTGGGGATACTCGGGTTTTGGGTGAATGTATTAATACATAAAATCAAGGATGTTGAAACAATGTCGGAACAATGATGCCCACTGATCTGCACAATCTTTTCTGCACAATCCTATAACAGATGGCAATGCTCCTATTAAACTTTTTTGGGTTTAAAAACAACTGACGGCTCTGAAGGGGAAAGAAAAACCCCAGAAAGGAAACAATGAGAATGAGAAAAAATCCTGATAATGTTTGCTGTGCGCTCATATATTACACAAAACAAAAACAATACATGCTCAGGGTGCCAGATCAGTAAAGTAATTACTTCCTTGACGTTTCCTCCAGATTAAAGGATTGAGAAGGCAGCAGGCTCTCTTAAGAAACAGGATGTTGTTGGACTGCTTCCAGTTGTTGGTGAGTTCAAAAGTATAGGGCACGAAAATAAGGCAGCTCGCAGATTTAATAAGGAGTACGTGAAAAACTTCATGCCGTGGTGGTGAGAATGTGAACCTCACTACTGGAAAACTATGGTTGAAGCAAAAAGTATCAATGTAATAATAATAATAATAATAATCCTTGCGTTTGATCTAGCGTCTTATCATCTTGTTGAGAAGCCTCAAAGTGTTTCACAGGATATACCCTAAAGTGGATTGACTGTGCATTTTGTGGGTCAAACGCAGCAGCCGGTTGCGCACAGCAAACTGTTGAGCCCCAAACTAAACGTAAAGAGAAAGCCCGATGCATACACAGGGGGGAAAAGAACAGGGGGAGACAGGAGAGGGAATACGAGGGGTTGGGGGACAGGGGCTCCTGCGGAGTATAAACGCCAGCAGGAACCGGTCAGCGATGAGGTCAATAAAAGGCCTGCGGAGCAACAACTGAATGAACCTTTTGAGGATACTCAGGTTTTGGGGTCCGAAAGGCTGACTGTCCAGCGCCTTGGGACGTCCTCCCGACGCAAGAGGGGCTGTACAAAAGTAAACGTTGCTGCTGTTGTTGTTGTTAGTGGTGGTGTTGTTGGTGGTGGTGTTGTTGGTGTTGTTGGTGGTGTTGTTGGTGTTGTTGTTGTTGTTGGCGGTGGTGGTGTTGGTGGTGGTGTTGGTGGTGTTGTTGTTGTTGTTGGCGGTGGTGGTGTTGGTGGTGTTGTTGTTGGTGGTGTTGTTGTTGTTGTTGGTGGTGGTGGTGTTGTTGGTGTTGGTGGTGTTGTTGGTGGTGGTGTTGTTGTTGTTGTTGGCGGTGGTGGTGTTGGTGTTGGTGGTGTTGTTGTTGGTGGTGTTGTTGTTGTTGGTGGTGGTGGTGGTGGTGGTGGTGTTGTTGGTGGTGTTGTTGTTGTTGTTGTTGTGGTGGTGGTGTTGTTGGTGGTGGTGTTGGTGGTGTTGTTGGTGGTGGTGTTGTTGGCGGTGGTGGTGTTGTTGGTGGTGGTGTTGTTGGTGGTGGTGTTGTTGTTGTTGTTGTTGGTGTTGTTGTCTGCAGCTCTGTGCAATGGGGAGGGGAGGGGTTAAGGCGGGGGGGGGGGGGGAGTGGGGAGTGGGCGGGGCTGTTGGCTCTCACTCACGCGCACGCAGGCACGTAAGGCACGCCCCTTGACGTGGCTAGCCACGCACGCACGCACGCACGCACCCCGCCAGGCGGACAGCTCGCGCCCTCCTCTGCCGCCCGCCTTCGGATGGGAGGCGGAGATTGTGGGTCCCGGGAGCGCGAGACGCTGACAGACAGTCACTCACTCACTCACACACACACACAGCGCTCCTCACTCACTCTCTCACACACACACCGCTCACTCACTCACTCTCTGTCTCGCTGTGCGGGCGGAATAAAAGCCATTGCAGAGCAGCGGCGACGACGACGAGAATCAATTATTTGACTGATAAAAAGCCGCGAGACGTCCCCCGTCGAGAAGAGAAGAGAAGGCGAAAAAAAAAAATCACCACAGAGACTGAGAGACTTTTTTTTTTTTGCGCGACGAACTGATTGCAAACGGTTCCCGAGAGAAGGCGGCGCGAGCCCCCCCCCCACCCCCCGCCCCTCACACCCACCCCCTCCCCCGCCCCTCTGTGGTACCCAGAGCCGCCTCCCTCCCTCCCTCCCTCTCTCCCTCCCGTCTCCCTCGTGTGTGCGGGGAGCAGCGATGGAGCCGTCGTCGAAGGGCCCGAGGCCGGGCGGGGTGTGCGCGCTGCTGAGGTACCTGCAGGGCCCTCACCCGGTGGCCCGGTTTCAGCAGATGTGCGGCGTGGCTCGAGCCGCCCCCGCGCCGCCCTCGCTGGGCAACGGCGTGTGCCTCCCGCGGCCCGGGGCCGGGCTCGGGGGGGAGGCCGAGGGGGAGGCCGGAGCCGCCGGGGGCGGCGGGGACTCGGCGCCTCCCGCCGCCTCCGCTCACCCGCACTCGGCGGCGAACGGCGAGCCCGCGCGGGCGGACTGGCGCCAGAGGCCGACCGGCGTCAAGTCGAAGCCGCGCCGCAAGAACTCGCTGAGCGACGAGACGGGCGCCGAGTTCATCGTGAGGAACAAACTGCTCTACTACCTCTTCAGCTTCGGCACCGAGTTGGGCAACGAGCTCTTCTACATCACCTTCTTCCCCTTCTGGCTGTGGAACATCGACCCGTACGTGGGCCGCCGGCTGATCGTGATCTGGGTCTGGGTCATGTACCTGGGCCAGTGCACCAAGGACATCATCCGCCTGCCCCGGCCCAGCTCGCCGCCCGTCGTCAAGGTGGAGGTGTTCTACGACTCCGAGTACGGGATGCCCTCCACCCACGCCATGTCCGGCACCGCCATCCCCTTCGCTCTCTTCTTCTTAACCGTCGGCAGGTGGGAGGTAAGTCCCCCGACACCCCCCCCCCCCTCCCTCTCTCTCTCTTACTTACTCTCTCATCCAAGGTACAAAATCACTCAGAAAGCCTTTCGATGTGTGTGTATATCAATATATATATATATGTATATCAAGTGAGTTGCAGCAACTCCTTTCGCCCTGAGTTGACAGTGACGAGTGAACCTTTGAGGAGCTGAGGGGAAGGGAGGCGGCATCTGTGTCCAAGAGGTTGTCCAGTACCTAAAGTGGAAAATAGGTTTAAGGTTTTAGGGTCACGACCCTCATCGGTTAACATTTTGAGTGAGGAGCCTCCATTGGTTACGGTTTCGGGTTGGGTTAAGGTCCTCCGTTGGTTAAGGTCTCAGATGGAGGGTTAGGACCCTCCGTCTTGTGATGTTCAGCTGTGACCTTTCCTCGAAACTGTTGGGTTGGTCATAACATTGCATTGAAACATTCATTTGTTTTCTCTAAGAAGCGAGTGCAGCAATAACCTCGTGTGGATTTCCAGCATCTTTGTTTTAGTTCTGATTTTCTGCATGACATTATTTGCTTCCTAATATAAATGAATTAATGAACGCAAGCAATCCCCTAATCAGGTTCGACAAGGCTCAGCAGTCGGTGCTAAGAGAACAGTGTTAAGTGATTCTGTTTTTTATTTGTTCATTTTTCCAAGATGGTCTGACAGATAAAATTAATCACAATCAGTGCTTGTGTAGCATGAGATGATAGGTTTTGTCTTGAGGTGAGGTCGTCTCTGAATGGTTCCAGCTGTGCTGAACCCAGGTGAATGCAGAAGAAATGTTGTGTGGCATTTGTTACAGATGTGACTTTTGTACGACATTAAACTTATTCTGTTTATTTCTAGAAACTGTTGCGGTTTGTTTTACACCAAACTCAAGCTGAACGATAAAATTCTTGAGTGAAGCTGACATTACTTTAGTGGTTTACAAGCGTTCTATAGTGATAAGTGCTCTGAGATGCCGTCCGGTGTGGAGGGCGCTATATATAAATTCAAGTTATTGTTGTTGATTGCAAAATATTCTCCAAATTCTGTGAGAATGCATGCACCCAATTGCAGGGGATTTTAAAAAATTCTAACTAAAATGAGGAAGTTGCCTTCGTTATTTGTTTGGAGGCGGGGGGGTTTTGAAGAAAATTTCTGAGGAGACTCAATGTCTCATCTAGCCTTATCACTATTACAATGTGTGCAATGCTATCTGCTCTAACTACACCAATTTATCGATGGCTAAGAACCAAGAAACGAGTTGTTCATAAAAAAATTGCTGGGTCCCTATTATTGTTATCAGTCTGTTTGTTTTGGTGAACAGCAGGTTTCTTCCATTTATGCCCTTCTTATCCATTGTTTTTAATCAGATAATATGAGGTGGATTTACATTAAGTTTTTTTTAACTCACCAGAGAGATTGTTTTATAATCCACAAGCAGTAGGCAAATTGGAGGGATTGAGACAGGGAGCTCCAGAGTTTTATCATAGTGGAGTCCTGTAACTCAGTGGTTAGAGCACTCGCTTTGCAAGTGAGAGACCTGAGTTCAATTCCAGGCAGAGGGCGAAACCTTGGGCAAGTTTCCTTACTCCACACAGAGCCTAATAATAATCCCTCCAAAAACCAAAAAACAATAATAAATTAGTCATTTTCAATCTACGACTGTTTGTGGGACATTGCTGTGAGCAATTGGCTGCCGCGTTCGCCCACAAATATACAGTCAATTCACTTTACAGTGTGTTCTGTGAAGCGCTTTGGGACGTCCTCCCGACGTGAAAAGTGCTATATCAAATGCTATTATTATTATTATAGTGACTGAAAGCACGTTCGCCATGCTTTAAGGTTAGATAGAATGATGGTCTTTTAGAAACCAGAACTGTTTTTCTGCATGTTGCGTTATTGAGACGTCTTAAAGCACCAACCACGATTTTTATGTGATGTGTAGTGACTGTATATTTGTAGGCAAATGCAGCAGCCAATTTGCGCACAACAAATTTTATTTGGATGATTGTTGGCCAGGACAATGGTAGAAATTCCCTTTCTATTGAATAGTGGTATGGGATTTTTAACGTCCACCTGAAGAGGCAGACAAGGCCTTGGTTTAACATCTCATTTGAAAAAATGGCACCTCCAACAATGCATCGCACCCCCAGCATTGGGGTGTCAGCTTAGACTGAGTTCAAAGTCCTGACTTGTGGCTTGAATCCACAACCTTCTGACTATTGAGATGAGAATGCTATCAACTGAGCTGAGCTGGCACACGCTTGACACAAGGAAAGTGAAAGTGATACAGCTTTTAGTTGACTGCATTTTTGGTTAAATGCTGGCCTATTCTTTCTTGACGCCCTGAAGGTTTTACGTTTTAGAATTAATTGCCCTTTTTTGTGAGAAGTAGATGTAGGTGATTCTGGTCCCACCCACATCTGTATGCCAGACTTGAAACCTGTCACCAGAAGCTGTGTGAAAGAGACCTGGGGGGTGATTCAGTTCCTGATTTACCCTTCCTGAAAATCACTGCTTCTGCATTCATTCACCGAAATGGATGAGATCAGGGGTTTGATTAGGATAAAAAAGGCCCTTTAGCCCATCTGATCTCAATCTTCTGGAACATCCAACCATCCTTTGACCCGCCGAAACCCTCATACGTGCCATCATTACATTGAGGCTTGACTATGCAAACTCATTGCTCTCCAACTCCTTCCTCCATAGGCTGCAGATCATCCAGAACTCTGCAGCCTACATCCTCTCCCAAACTAGGCTCCGTGACCCTATCACCCCCATCCTCACCTGACTCCACTGGCTTCCCATCACACAGAGGATACAGTTCAAGATCCCAGTCCTGACTTTCAAAGCCCTGCATAGTCTTGCTCTCCCCTACCTCTGCAACCTCCTAACCCCCTACCATCCTGCTCACTCCCTCCACTCGGTGGATTCCGGCCTGCTTCACGGCCACCGCCTCGTTCGCCCCATTATTAGTGGGTGTGCCTTCTGTCATTCTACTCTCACCCTCTGGAACTCTATCCCGCAGTCCCTCTGCCGCGCCCCCTCCCTTGCCTCCTTGAAGACCCATCTCAAGACCCTCCTCTTTGACGTGCTTTCGATCTCCCTATTTCCCACCTTTCACCCTCCCCGACCCCCAGCTCGTGTCCGAAACTCTGTCTGTCCAGCGTCTTGGGATGTCCTCCCAACGTGAAAGACGCTATACAAATCTAATTTTGTTGTTGTTGCCTGGATTCGTGGGAAGCACCCATGTTCTTCCACTGTTAGCCACATTGTGTAGTTCAGTAGATGTGTATAATCATTACACATGACATCATTTGGTTCGGTTAGATATGTATTCACAATACTGCTTCTTTATGTTTTAAAATATAAAAAATTGAGATCAGTTGGACTCTTTCTGGCACGGCTCAGTTTGAAAAGAAGTGATCATTTTCAGAGTTTAAGGTTTTACAGTAGGCACACTACCCACCTGACTTTAATTTTCCCCCCACTCATCATTTAGCTGCAATTTTCTGCTCATTCTAACAACCTTCTTATCTGTTGGTCAGTAATTCTGATTGTGCTTTACTGCATAGACTTCTAAGGGAGATGTAACTGCTGTTAAAATGAATAGAATTGAAAAGTAAGTAGGACACGAGAACAAACGAGAACAAAATGCTCAATAACGTGAGTCATAGAATATGTACAGTGATGTAGAAGAAATGAGAAAAGCAGAATCCTTCACACAATCTGCTTTCTTTGTATTCCACTACTTGGCATTTTGTTAATCATCTGGTATGGAAAGGAAGTTGTGTGAAGAATATAATAATGATCTTTGCATTTGTTATGGTACTTTATCATATTCTCAAAATGTCTCAAATAATTTTACAGGATTTACTGTAGGGTAGTGAGCACAGCAGCCAATTTGCACACAGCAGTGTCCCACAAACCGCCGTGAAGTGAATGATCAATTTTATCTGGGTCATTGTTGGCTCAGAGAAACTCCTTTCTCTTTTCAAAAAGTTGTACAGTTGGGAGCTGTAGTTGGCCTGGATGGTGAATCGTCTATTGAGTTGTCCCCCTTTGATTGCTCACGTGATCGCTGCTCAAAGATGCGTATGTTACAATAGAATAGGTGGAGAATAGGATCGGGCTCACCTATGATTGAATAGTTTGGTAACCCTTATTGTTCAGACTTGCTTGTAACCTGGTGAAAAGCATTTTTATTCAACAACATTCATCAAAATCCAGGTGCATCAGTTACGTTTCCAGTCGGTTTCTCATGACTGCCAGAAACGCAGAAACGTAACTGATGCACCTAAACCTGCTTATTTTAGCATTTTGTTTTCTGAAAAGTGGCAGATGGCCGAGCAAGTGCTGTTAGAACCATCTGGTGAACAATGAGATCATATCTTGGTTCAGGGCTGGAATTACTGACTCGCTGCTGGAACGTGGCTTTGCGACTGCATGCTTTCCAATAGCACTTGTAAACGACATCCTTTTCTATCCGAGCCTGCAGCGTAGCGTAGAGAACCGATTCTATTGTCGTCAGAACTGGGATGAAAACCAATCTCGAGATTTCAAGATGGTTTTCACTCCTCTTCCAGAGGCCACATTGCTGCTTATCTTTATACTGCAATATGGCAATATAAATTGATGAACCTGTTGTATGTTTCATTGATACAATGGAGATGTTGCAATTGCAGTATCCTGGCTATCAGTACTGTGGAATGTGCCCTTTTGCACAGTAAAGATTTAATAAAGGGATGGTTCTGCATTCATAGATTTTGTTCCTTTGTGATTCACTAATTCTTTATTCTGTTTTCCAATCATAAAATGTTCATAGCCAATTGCCAGGGTGAGCTGAATATGTTTCTGCTTGAGAATCTGATTGGAGGATAAAAGGAAAAGTACAACATGAAGTAAACACATGGAAAGCAATGGTTTTCGTGTTGTTACAGTGAGATTTCAGTTTATAGGGAATAACAATCTGGCTGGAGTTTTTGCTCAATTGTCTTTCGGA